TTTACGGTACTTTATCAAAACTCTACGTTAGTCGGCCGACTAATACGTACGCCAGCATGAGGTTCACTAATCATTAAAAAGTGCACCTGCTTTTTCCAGGCCAACTCTTCAAGCAGCTCTTGGGACGGTCTGCTCTGGTTACTATTTAGTTGGAGAAACCTAATCGTTGCTCTGGCTGTGTTTCCTGATGTATTTTTAAGGAAGGAGCTGCTATTTCGTTTACGCTGCTTTCTTTTATTCTTTACGTTCACAATCGTTTCGAAGTCATCCTCCTCGATTACGTCAACTATCTGCGGAAGGGTTACTTTTAAAGCTAGTTCCTCATTATAAAGGCAGTTCTGAAGGTATTATTTATGCAGACACATTTTTATTACCAGACTCACTTTCGTCAAAAAGCCTGTTCTGAAATTTTTTCTCTGTACTTTGGACAGTTTGTTGCGTTCGCAAGGTGATCCGCTTCGCCACAATTGTAATAGAAAGGATTTCTCGTGCAGTCCTGGAGCACATGTCGTAACTACCCGAATTTATAAGATCTTTTTGTCACTACGGCCTAACAAATACCTCAGAATGGCAGCGTAAGGAAATAGACCTACTTAGTGATGTGGTAGGCGGTTCATTTTATATACAACTTATTTTGCATGAAGATGCCGTTAGTCACTGCATGTCTCGTGAACCGAACCGTGGCAGATCACCGTCCAGTAATGACCTTCATAAGTTCGTTCACCACAAAGCTGTCTTTGCTTACTTTAGCATTTACAATAGCCGTGTTAATCTCCACCGTGTTAGTGCCCTTTAGTTTCTACCTAGGAATGTAACTTAGGAGGCAGTGTCGACAGTCGGTAATACACCTTGTCCTTCAACAATTTGAGCGAATGTTTGTGAGGCACAGTAAAATGCCTCTTTCATCTTAATCCTGACGTCAGCATTTCTTAGTACTTTTATCCCTGTAACCGCAAAAATATGCTACGCTAGGTCAACGTTCTGTGATAGGTTTTTAATGTTGCCGCAAAAGAGTGTCTCCTGCCGGTTTTTTTTTCATAGGTATGGAACTTGACAGCCTTTCGTGGATGCAGTGGTACCCTTAAAGCGCAATCTTTGGGAAGCTATTGTGAATCACCCTATATTATTTTCCTAAGGAACCCATGACTTCCAATGGCATTCGGCTACCAGGAACCTACCTTGAGAACTGCTTTTTAACCTAAGAAATTCATTAAAAAGATTTCGTGTTTTGTTGGAAATTGTTGCCATCACTTTTCTAAAAGCGATGACTCCATTGTACTCAGTTCTTTCCTCCTGTTTTGGTAATCCTATTTCTCCTGCATTCAAACTAAGTGTCGTGCTACCAGCTTTGCTGGGTCTCCTTGCAGCTTATGGAACTGAGAGGTCATGTCAACCCAGAATTTATCATCTTTCTCGCTCTCTTTTCTTACAACAATAATATGAAAAAAACTACCAATTCTATTAGTACGAAAATCGAAACACGACAATATTGTGGCCTAATATTGTTTTTCAGGCCAGTTTCACTCCGGCAGGAGCCTAAGCTTCTCCTCTGAATTACAGTCACTCATTTTTGCCCATATCTTTTTCGCATCAGCAAGGCCTATGATGCTTTTGAGTTCTGGATTCTTCTCCACGACCGTTCGATCAGTCCGACTTAGTAGCTAGCTGAAAATGCAACCTCCGCGATTTGTGCTACCATTTTCTTAACATCGTCGTATAGAGTTTTGTGCAAGTCGTTGGCTTTATTTTTTCTGCTTGCGCAGTAATCCAGCTGCGTCGTCAACTTGGTCATCTTCGTAATTATTTGTAAAAGCGGAAAGTCGATCTTCTTTGTCGTCCCGTGTGGTAATAATCACCTATTGGGAAATAGTTATACCAGCTACATTGCCAACAGATGCTGCATTTCTTATACCAGAGACATCGATATTCGCCTCTTGCATTGCAGGATCTAATTCTTCAGATCGCTTTACCCCTGTATCTGAAGGTCGTACAGCGTCTACGCCAAGAAAATTTGCTGATTTGTCCAAAATTTTTCATCTGCCTGCGGTCTAATCGACCACTTGTTCAAAATAACGATCGCTTATGACTATAAAGAAAAACAGGCTGTCTACTAATCACCTTATATCCAAGTTGAATTATCAAGTCACTATTTTTAGAGGACAAATATGAAATTAATGATGATAAGGAATCATTATTAAGGTTAATAGCTACTTGTATGACTTCCAAGAAATTTAATAGGTTTTTCAAGAAACCCCAGACAGCATCTTTAGCAAAGACCCATTACCGTTAGACTCTTAGTGGGGGGGGGGGGGGGGTAAATCTTTACTCACTATATATGCGTAGTGTACGTTAAGGAGGTAACTCCTTAAAAACAAAATAGCTAATAGGTAAGAGAGTTGAAAAGATTAATTAGCAAAAAAGCCCCTATTCTCTTTGTAAAGCACTAAGATACAAACTAATAACACGGACAGCTTAAATTTTATCCATTTTCGCGGCTCAGATCCTTTGCAAAACGAAATCATGGGTCAACTAAGGGTAACTTAAAATCCAGCAGGGCAAACCATATGCAAATGAAGCATGGTACATCGCATGTGTCTAAATTTTCATCGTGTTAGTCCGATAAATAACGAGAATGCTTTTACCTAAGCGGCAAAAAAACATAAAAATTTTGCGCTAGTCGTTAAAAGTATTATCAAAAAAATGTCGAAACGGTAACGCGACAGTATTTATTTTTTCGTGTTTTATGTCCAGTACATAAGCCGTTAGACATTATTTCAGACGACTGGCATTTCATTCGGCGGCAATTCGTTCCAGAATGAAAGAAACTTTATTAACGCTCGGATTCGAACTTTGACCACCGCGTATCTTTAAATCTAGTGGGCAAATAGGTAATCTATTGCACTATTACAGAGAGTTAGATTTTTGCGCCAGTTACGCTGCTAAAACGATGATATTAAAAATCTGTTTATGAAAAAAGTGAGCCTACATTGCAAACTATATTTAGCAGCCGACAATTATGTCTGTTTTTTTATGATTCGGTATACACACAAACGGAGAGCATAAATGAGTCGATCATGAACCACTACAACATAATTATGGCTTAATTAACTTTCCAGAAGAATTTCAGATTAGCGGTTCAAGCATACTACGCGTTTGGATTTGACTGCGACGAGGAAGAACTTCAATTAAGGTTAAGCGATGAAAAATTGACGAGTTGTGTTCTATGTTTCTCAATGTGTCCGCAAAATATACATTACACGTTTGTGCGTATGCTCTAAAAGCAGATAGGCAACGCTCTGTCTATGCGGTGCCATAATGTACCGTGAACGAAAAGCATAAGTAGACTCTGAGAAGTCTTCCCCAGGGTTTTCCCAAAGATAGTCCCCAGGGACTATCTTTGTTTATCATACTATGTCTATCTATGTTTAGAAAAACACAATTGTATCGTATGAACTTATGAACTAAAAATATGAAATTTAATAATCTATGTGCGTGATCGGAGAGATTGGTCAGCAATGGCACTGCAGAGCATGACGTCGAATAGTTTCTGGGGCATATCGTACCGCATTTTGTGTAGATATACGTAGTCTCCCGGACAACTAAAACCTACTGTTCCGCATGCTGAAATGTGCAACTACGTTACGGTTCGTTATGTCTGGCTCTATTCAGGGGTCACTATCAGGAGCTTTTGTGTGATTAAATCGGAGATCTATCTCTGCCATCTTTCTTTCCTATATGCTAATGAGCTTCAAGTAAGCAGGAGTAATGAAAAGTTTGAATTTTTATTTTTTCTACAACTAGCAGTGCGTTACCTAGAAGGTTCGTGTATCTTTTCAATAATGAGCAACGTAGCCCCATAGCGCGCTTCAAGACCAGAGGCCAAATCTTTCGAGGTGCTTCGATAAAAGGCGTTATCAAGCAACTCGAAACGCAAGCAACGAAACTCCGTAACGTTATTCCGTAATTTTTGTTTCAAACAAGCGCTTGCAAAAAATTCTAAGAGCGTACGTATTCCCATACTCACAACAATCGCATTGCCGTACTCTGTTTATGACATGCTTTGCAAAGTTTCCGCTGTTTGTGGATAGGATCACCGCAAAGTATTTGAAGCTGTTCACGTACTCCAAGGTCGCTATGTCTACATGGAGCGTGTCAAAAACAGCGCGGTGCCCCACAAGCAAAGGCGATGAATTTCGACACTGAGAATTCATAGCCGTTGCTTGATGCACGTTGATTATCAGTCTAGCCCCGTCCATGTAACGGGGCCTTGGCCAGAGCCTGCCGGACAAAAAGTCCATTCCTTCGGTAAATGACAAAATCATTAGCGTATAGCGGCGTTTTTATCCGTCTCGCCGGACCTTCAACACGGACTGAGAAGTCATTCGGCAACAAAAAGATGTATGTCGGATCGGTCTGGTCAAAGGCCACATATTCTGTGGGACTCTAAATTCTACAAGCTTTACTAAGATTTTGTATTTGGGAGCCATAGCAGTCGTTAACAATCAACGAACACAGCTAGGATAGCCTGTTGTGTTCTGCGACGCGGTGCACCTCCTGCAGCAGTTTGTAGTTACTATTGGTAACTAACACATGTCGCAGTCTCAAGTAGTGAGCAGAGTTAGTGTGAGTATCAAGGTATTGACATACGATAGCGGGTTATTGGCAGTCTAAGACATTCTGCTAAGTGACAATTCTAGCAGAGTATTCATATAAGCAATGTAGCTGAATAGACTGACATAAAAAGATCGTGGAGAGATTAGAGAGACTTCATTTAATAAAACTAATAGTCGAAAGCGGAGCGTGAACATGGCGATTTTTTCGGCACGTTCAACGTATCGAGGAAAACATTCGTCGAAATATGTTGAGCTAACTTCCCGCATCTTTTACCTAAGCCTTCCAAAATTGCTTATTATTCGGAGTCGAAGAATAGCGTACTTCTAATTGTATTATCATCGTATCGGCCTAAATCACGACACTATGAGATAATTATTATACAAACATTTATTCTCCATTGATATTATGTGCAATTAACATTAATTATTATATTTATTGTTCTATGTGGATATGGGTTGGTTAGTTGGTTGCTGTTGAGTCTCAATGTTTGTCCTTTAGTCTTTCCTTCATCCTCTTTTAACGGAGGACACATGAGAACGCATCATTGCTACCATTTTGGCCGTCTTCGCCCGTGCGCAAATTTATTTCGTTCCCTTAGCTTTTGTATCACTCTAACTGAAAAATGTTACTTGTCAAATTTGCGTGCACTAGCGTTTCCTTATCGTTCATCATAATCTGTCTACACGGCAATATCTACTATCGTCAATAGCAGTTACAACAAAACTTTGACCTTCCCCAACCGCGTAATTCTCGTAACTGTCAGTGCGCCTTAACGATTGTGTCTGAGTGTTTTTAAAGTACCAGCTCTTTGTACACATGCACGCCCGAATTACATCATATATTGTTGGGCACACGAGTGCATGTCACACATTCAGTCTCTCTCTCAGTGTTAAGGGGCTGGCAAACCTTTTGTCGCATCACTATTGTGTATTTAGTTATACCCATCTTTCCGTGTTAAAAACATATTTATAACCTGCCCTATATAGCTACCGCAACTAAATTAGACACTTTTTATACCTGCATTTTCCTCTTCCATACGTTCTCCTCAAGCCATTTAAAGCAATCGTTATATCTGTATAGTACAATTATGATACAAGGCAGAGTCCGCTATGCAACATAGTACGCAAGATATGACTTAGGCGCTTGATGATCCCCTAAGTCATATTGCTAGACAGTAACATTAGGGTATGAATTCACTTGTCAGTTTTTCTTCGTTCCCACGGACTCTTACCCTATTTGTAACTTGTATTCGACACCGCACTTAGAGCGGACGCTACTGCATCATAATGCCAGTTTGAAATAGTCGGTTGATTTTAGCAAAATGTAAGTATTTCATTAAATCTTGAGAACAGAAAATATACAAACATTGATTGGATATTGCTGTTTCACCATCGATAATAGGCGCGTGTATCTACAGACCAATTTGTAAAGTTATCCACCAAACCTTACCCCTTTGAAATATAACTAATTCTTTTGTTTGCCAGCAATGGCCATTTTGAGGCGTCCCATTTGCTGTAATTCTTCAAAATCTTTGCTTAATTGAGTCATACTTGTTGTTGTGTGTGTCTACTGCTGCTTCTGTACTCAGTTTCAGCAAGGGTCTCAACGAGACCGGAAGACATTGGATCTGGTGTACTCCTGCCCCTACTCCTTTTACTATTTTTGTCCTTTTTTGTATGTTTCTCTTGCGTTCAGTGGGGTTAAGTCCTAGGTTCATTTTTGAGCGCCACTGCTTTACTTATGCTCCCTTTTTATATCTTTGCGTTCGCTGATGTGAAATTGCTCTCCGCTTTCTTTAAAATTTGTTATATCCAAAGAATGGATATCCAATAGGCGGATAGTTATATATTAGTTATACAACCTACAATCCATTGTTGTGACTGATTTTCACCCTTGTTTTGATTAATATTGGGTTGTTGCGTGTCACTTGAAGGACTATTACAAGTATTTCCTTCTGTAACACATAATGACACCATTTTTAGGTAGATAGCAGTCAATCATGCCGTAGCTATCTTTCCATCCTTTTCTCCCTTTCTTTTTGATCACCTAAAAAAACACTTTTTAAAAAGAGCCTTTTGTTGGAGTTTCGATGCACCACCCATTAGATGGATTAGCAGGAAAAAAAGCACAATTTGTTCGACCATCCTGTCGTTGTCGCGATCTTTCGCTTTAGCTGGCGAAATTTTTCTGATTACTGTCGGCAGCGCTGTATCCCCTGTTTAAGTGGTCGCTTGAGCCCCAGCGCAAGGCACCATGTTATTTCATCTTTAACATCATCTTTCCTTTATGGCTATTCATTATAAGCATCGTGGTCGTCGTCCTCAATTGCATCGTTAGTATTATTAACTCGTCGTTATTTTCTTTGCGTTAATTGGACAATGAACAAATGATCTATAATAAAAGTTCTTTTTTTTTCCTTATATTTGTTCACTATAATACAGTTCACTTGCACATCCAGCCAACACATTTGTCAAACCATTCGAAAGCGGTTTTTGTTATCGTTGTTTGATGTCGTTGACCAGCAATTATCATATTTAGCTTACTATTACTTGAGACGTCATATGATTCGATGTTCCTTTTTGCTATTGTTGATGTTGGTGTTCGTCGGATTACGCACAGGAACGCAAACCAGATGGGATCACAGTCCCTTTAAAAGGTTCGTCATGGCAATTGCTTGCACTTTATCTTAGGCATTGCCAATTATATCAGTCAGTACGACGCAGCACGACACCTTCGAAATATCTACTAGCTAGGCGATATCTGTTGTTGGCGTTAATGCTGGATTAGAAACACCATAGAGACGTATGAGATGGCCACAACAACCAAGCAGATCTACTTGTATAGTTGATGACAGCGTCAATTGATTCTGTTATCAGTTCATATTGTTGCGACATCTGCTACGTTGTGAATATAGGGGCCAACATAGGCCTACAACCGATTCAAGTCTCGTCCAGTATCTCGATCCGAGCACGACCGTAGCTGATCCGGTCGGATGTGTAGTGCGAGGGGTAAAGACTCGCCATTGAGTGCCAGATAGGCGAGGCAGCCGTTAAAGCCGTGATAGAAAGCCGACGGCAAACGGGCTGGAAGGGTAGATGCTCCGCCCACCTAACAGAAATGGAAGAAGATCGAGTATTGCGATTAAAAGAAGACCTGTTATTTATTGACAATCCTTACGATTTGTGTGCGGGTTTGAATAAACGAACGTTGAATAAATAACACTGTAAACATATACAGTACATGTTAGGGTCGTGTTAGCCCTTGCAAAGAAATCCTCTGTGCCCTTGTATATAGAAGGTGGTGTTCCTGTTTCAACATTGCGAACAGGATTTCGCGTAAACAATCTATAAAATGACTGATCTATACCTATACACGTGCATAGTTATGGTACTATTTAGCTTATTTAGACGAACAAGGCGTTACCCATATGACGGCGCTATTGCCATAGATGGATAGTTCCTCGAGCGGATGATCGACGGCTACCGTCGTTGTCAAGGAACTGTCAATCTGCAACGATGCCATCTGCGAGTTCAGCGTCACCTGCGCATTGAATATACAATAAGTAATCAACTATTATCGGAAACTTTTAATTATTTTACGTATTACTGCATCAATATAAGCAAGTTGAGTCCGAAATAAATACAAAGATTTATTTTCAAACTGATCGTTGTCAATAAATGTAATAGTTGATCTCACACATAGAAATTATTTTTCACGTTAATATTACGTAAATACAAATTTTTATTAAGCTTGATAATATCGACATTCCTTTACAAAAATACATACGTATATATGAAGTATGCAACCATTGTATCTCCAGTGTTGATGGGAGACTATGGGTTAGGATTTTTTTTCTGCCGAGGAATAACTGATTAAAAAAACTAAATTAACAGATTAAAGGGCATTTTTTTCAGAACTGAGATAAATTTTTTAAGATCATCCTTATTTCCCGCTGTTCTACACATTTTTAACAATATATTTATGTTAATGTCGTAATGTGTGCAATCTTCGCAAGATATTGTACCTTAGCATGATGCCAGCGTCCATCATTGACGTTGGCTTGACTCCGCAGCACGATAGGGCGCCGCACTGTGGCAGCGAGATGCAAGTTGAACTCCAGGTGTCCGTCAGCGAGGGCAAGCGCTATGAAGCTCCCAGCGACGCTCGTAGAGGCACCGCTGTTTTGGGAGACTCCGGCCCCCACACTGCCCTCAGCTAACCAAGCTAGCAGACCTGAAGTCTGCTTTGACCGGAATCTAACTTCGAATGTATCGTCCTCGTTATTCTCCGCCCTAACGAAGATACGGAAAATAGTCAGAAGGAGAAATGGAGTGAGAGCAAGAGCACGCACGCAGATATGTAGAGTTATTTTTGAATTTCACATTTGATACTCAACAAAAAACAAGAATTACAATTAATTATATTGAAAATCATGCAATTAATAATTCTAACTAGAATTATTACGTAATCCAATCCAGCACCTACTTTGAGACGAACTTATGCGGAATGTGAACGTAAGTGTGGCCATCAAAAAGAACGGGTTGTCCCATTTGTTCCTCAATTTGAGTGAGCGGCTTTTCGCAGTGTTTTCCACCGAAGTTGGGTGCGCAAGAGCACGCATACTGGCCAAGAAGTGGTGTACACACGCCTCCGTTGCGACACGGACGAGCCCCACAGGGCGGGCCATGGTATTGGCTAACGAGGTGCGAGGATCTCGCACGAGCTAGAAGATTGTCCCACACAGCCCCATTGACGACTAGACGCTGGATGGCGCCATCGAGTCCGGCCGAAGGACCAAGATCTCGAGGAAGCGCAGTGTCCCCCGACACTCCCCCGATAAACAGGGGCTGATCCAGATTTAGTTCGTCCAGGGATCCCTGGAAAAAAATACGCAGTCAGCATAGCTCTACATTGTAGTCCATCTATGCTATGTTATTGTTTTTGCGGTAGCTATCCAATTGATAAAAAGAGGTCAGATAACCTCGTGCAGCTCTTAGGTCGCTTAAGCTCCGGCTGTGTTTCGTGTTCATCTGCAATCAAAAGTTAGTTAAGATAATTTTTTTTATTTGTTACTTGGATTATTTGACCTAAGTGTTGGCATTAAAAAAGGCCTTACCATCGAAACAGCTTGCACGACGGGCCCGCGATCAACTTGCAGACTACCTTCTTTGCGATTTCGGGTCACACGTATAGAATGCCACTCGTTAAGACTGATCATATTCGGGGCCCTGAAAGCAAGCGAGCACAACGGAAAGCTATTTAAAGTTTTCGTCCTCATATCAGCGCTTGCAGGAAAATTTATACGTACCATCATTTAAAATATTCTTTGCTGAGTAATATACATGGCTAACGCTATAAAAATACCATATAAAATATGAAAATGAAATCTGCAGATATTTGAGAGGTAAAAACATGAGCAGATAGCCGTTATTTACGTAATCACAACTGTGGATGACACATTTGGCCCGGCCCCGCCGAGGTTGTATCGGTATTCGACGTGCTGCGATACGAGTGAGATGGCGAGGTAGTCGCCTTTACCAGCGCGTCCCTGTCCATTGTATAGAATCAGACCAGTAGAAGCTCGAGGTAAGAACCAAATATCGAGCGTGAACAGCTGCGAAACCCCAGCGAGCGTTGGGAGCACCAAGAAGCTGTGGCCCGAGAAGGACACCACTGAGTTTGGTCCCGCTGCCTTGATGCCTGTAGCACGTAGATGTCAAAAGTGGAATGGCAGAGGTACATGAGTTACGTAGAAGCCTCATTAATGTGCAGGCAGTGTAGAATAAGTAGTGGTAGTCGTCTAACTGTCTCTTTCGGCCTTCTTATATTCTACAAAGGAAAGTTTTTCAGATAGTTCTATCGTGTTAATACATCCGTAAGCAGTGTAAAAAGAGCTTTACCTTATAGAAGTACTAATGTAATGTACAATATATATTTACTGGTATCGCAGAACTGTCCCGATTTGCCTGGTGGACATTTGCAGAAGAAGGCGTCTCCGTCAGCAGGTACACAAGTGGCACCGTGGGCGCAAGGCTGAGCTGAGCAACGATGAGTGGCTCGCTCACAGTCGCGTCCGCCGAAACCTGGCCGACATTCGCAGCGGTAGGAGGTTCCCACGGGTTCGCACAACCCCCCATTCTGGCACGGCGCTGCTGAGCACGCAGTTTCCGTACATTCACCTGTAATACCGTCATAAATAAAAGTCAAGTTTCTGCGGGAAAACATTGTTTATTTGCCTCAGTGTCTAATCGGTGAGCAATCATCGTCCATATATCGTTTCTATTAATAGTAATCTGATTTTAAGTACCGCAGCGTTGGTTTATTGAGTCAGCTATTATTTTTCTAACACAAGTGACCTGTTACTGTTAGGCTTGTCGAAATGCGAAATCCGTCAGTCAGTTAGAAGAATTCATTAGTGAATCAGTGGGCACCAAACCCAAATGTATTTATGATATCGGCTGACGTGATTTATCCTAACTTCACGCGGTTGCAATAGCTAAGTCAGGCTCAGTGTCTATTGCGATAGATTCAAATTGAAGAAATGTTTCAATCATCGACAGGAGCGTTTGAGTGATGAATTTTAGCACAGCAAGAAACATTAAATAGGAACAGCATACCCAAGGCACGTGTCCTGAATGGACCCGGAGGCAGACAATATCTTAGGCCCTTTTAAGTAGGGAAATAGTGATAACAAAACATAGGACGGGCAAACGTCTTTTTTGACGTTTGCCCGTCCTATGTTTTGTGACTGAACTCGAACGAATGCCCTTGAGTATCGTTCTGGGGATTTGTAACGCAGATCTCGAGGCCACAGATAGTTAATATATTGAGTTTATTGGCAGATTGCCTCAAAATTACGACTGCGACTATACGCAGATTTGCTAGCAATGTAAAGTTAGCGTGCTTTTGGAGACAGTGTCATTAGAAGATATATAAGCTAAATTGTAGTCATCCGTAATAAATATAAGACCAGTTGATCTAATCATTTTCACATCTAGAAAAGACTAAGTACACTGAAGTGAAGGATCTCTTTTAGCTAGTCTATCCTTTTTAGTTACACCGAAATATCCTCCCAGTTAGCTCAATGAATCAATCCCGACAAATGATCAGATTCAAAACCGAAAAGGTTTGGAAGATTAGGTGCGTCTTGACATTCATTAGCTTATCAATCCAAAAGCAAAATAAGTACAGAACACGTCATTGGAGTTGACAAATCCACCTGTTTAGATATTTATATACGTACAGATAAGAAACTTTAGATATTTACCTAATAACACATATCGTCACCCACGAAGATTATTTAAATGCATATTTTAAAGCAATAAGACTTTGCTGTTTGTGTGCGGTAAACGAGTGGTACGTAAACTACACCTTGAAAGGTTCATATAAGATATAATAGTTCACATGTTTCCAGCACTTGCATCTTCAAAAAAGCGCTTGGATTAATGAGTTCAAAAAAAAAGATTTTTCCGCAATAATGTATTGGCTCTCGTATTTGCTGAAATATAGTGTAAAAATCTCCTTGAAAGCTAAAACGTACCCTACAGGCTACTTTAACTGTTACCGATACAGTTAGCTCAGACCCGAGTTTAGTAGAACAATAAACGCAATAAATGCTGTATCTCGAGCAATAATTACTCGTTGTCTATCGAGACATCTAGGAGGCTGGTAAAGAGACCTCAAAGAGCTTCTGAGAAAAATCTTTGTACAGGATGCCCCATTAACTGAAGGCCCCCGTGATCTTCAGTGTGCCGCAGGTAAAAGGTAAAAAGAAAAGGAAAGCCGAGGCTTAACATACTGATGATACCTATAGCATTGGTGATAGTTACAATGGCAATGATGACTATAATGATAGGGGGAGGCTATTATTTATTGTTACGACATTCGTATTGTGTAGGTAGTATGCAGTTACTTTTGCTTCATATTGAGTTACTTAAAAAAGGCACGATAATACATCACTTCTTTTGTTGTATCGACGCAAATACCGACGGCAAAAAATATCGACGGGCTGACAATAGATCTTTAGTCACAGCAGAAGGCAGTGGTCGTTTCACCACCATAGCAACACGGAAAACTAATAATATATTGAACTAATGGAAGGTCTTCGGACGTCGGTTGACCAAACGAACGAAGCGAAATTTAAGATAGTTTGAGCGAATAGGGGATAAATAGAGAAAAAGCTTAAGAAGGACGAACTGTGAAGAACTAAAGCAACTGGTACAGAGAAGAAGCGTGAGCCGCCGGGTTGTGGCACCGGTGTGAGAAACAACGACAGGAGTAGCAACCAAAGATGTCGCTGCTGACACCCCCAGCAATTCAACATAAAACGGTCGGCGTTTGACGAAGCCTCTGACGAAGCACAAAACCCGACGAAGGACGTATAAAGGCACAACTTTAGCTCACGATGTTTCGTATTATTATATACTGCCTTTAACGGCCAATACACGTAAATCGATAAATAATAATTTGTTCTAAGAATAGCACCAAATACTTAGATAACTTAGATTCCGCATAGCGAAAAGTGTTGTAGTGCAAACCGCCTTTAATACGGGTACCGTTTTAATTGCACGTATAAAATGTACTAAATGCTTTTTTTAAATTAAAGCAAATTCGACCTCAGAATTTTTAATAGTTAATGAGAAAGTTACATTCTGCCTCAAATGGATTTGTCTATATATCATGCAGTGTAAACCTGATTAGTGTCCGTTTATCGTACGACTAAGGAAAGGCAAAATCGGACGTCCGGCCACAGTGTGAACGAATGACAAAATCGCTTGCTCGTTAGTTTCTGTTCCAAATGATTATTTGAGAGCTCTGAGAGTAGAAAACTCTTTGTGTTTCCAGAGCTATATTTAGGCGAAACTGATTTTAAGAATTTTGCTTCTGAAAGCCAGGAAAAGTTTATACAGTCACGTGTAACTATGAATACACGTGGTTAATAAATGCAATCTCAACAACATTCCATATTCAGCGACTCCCAACAATTGTTTATTTACGAATGATGAGTACTTCGTCTTTAGAACCTTTCGTTATGGTGCTTGCTCGGACTAGCTAAAAGCGAACTGCGATAATATTGATTCCCATCAAGATATTTATACTCACGTATATTATAAGCGCTAAGAATATCCTTGGACTGAGGATATTTCAGGTTGAGGTGTTTCTTCCCTACCCGAATAAGGCTGATGCAACCTTGGAAACCAGTGGAAACACCTACATTTTGAAATATTCTGAAAATCACATGAAAATACAATAGTTTACCGTATGCATGTGAAACCTCTACAAATATGAATTCGTGTTGCCCTGAAATCAATGTAGATAACTTAAGCGGTTTAAATCCAAAAATAATTTCAGAAGTAGCACAGATGTTCTCCTATCAACTCAGAGGATTACCTGTGACTTGAGAAAAGGATTTCCATTAGAGCCGTGCAAATATTATAACAATATGAATATATATTGCCAAAACTGGTTCAAGCTCACAGTTAGATATATTCTACCAATGAAAACTGTTTGGCGCTAAGTCTACTTCTAAAATCGTTGATCCAGGACGTCTCCATGGGAACCTACAGAAGACAACTCCATTTGTATTCATTTGGGAAAGTTTTTTTCTATTGCTTTCGCTTCCCTTGTTCTGCCATTGAGCCCAGTGGCGTTATTATCTCGTCGTCGTCTTGTTACCTCATTACATTCGATTTCGATTGCCTTTCACGACAAGCAGCTCCCTCTCTGTAATGTGGCGGTTTTATCTACGATTGAAGTCTCGTTGATCATGTATTATTACATACTTTGTTTTGTTTGACTAAATGAGGCTTTATATTATTATTTAATATTTTTCCTATTATATTACGACAGTTTTAATACACACAATTAACGCCATAATATCTTCAACAACAAATAATGAATCTGACACTGTCCAAGGGGAATTTAAAAGCGAAAAAGTAATTAAAAAAAAAACTGACGCTTCGCTGTAGTGATCCACAACACCATACTTATTGTTACATTTGCTAGAAGAAACTAAAACATCACCAAGGATGCTTTTCTTTAACGCAGCCCTAAAGTTGTTGTAAGCTACACTTAAGTAAAACTAAAATCTTATGATCTGTGAACAACATATTAAATACTGCCTTTAATGAACTAGGCAATTTTAGTTTTCTCTAAGCGCAGCCTACTCAGGCGTGTAGTATCCATTCCACGTCGTTTTCAGTCTACTGAAAGATTTTTGTTACTTCGAATTAATAGTAAACTGAACAGCACCATAGACGTAGTAACAACGTTGAAAATATTATTATTAAAGCTCGTTACGTAGATGAGGTAAATAGTAGTAATAATAATGGCAGTAGAGATGCAGTACTCTCGGAGAAGCTCTTGAAAGTGCCAAAGAAGGAAGAGTGCTCAGTACACTGCAGTGAACTGCTCTGGGTTCTGGGTTCGAAACGAAGAAGCACAACAACGAAGCGGGTGAGCCGTTACTATTTCGAACTATTAGTTTCGGTTTGAATTTAATAGCTTCCGTACAGCTGCACTTACCCCTCGATCCTTTTGGGCACAGACCCAACGTAAAGATTTTCAGCGAGATCGAGTGATTTGAGCACTCCCTCGGATCGACCCGTCACCTCAGCGCCGCTATCCACCTTCAGAACGCCGTCCTGGTGGTAACGACGAATCATTACATGGTGGTACTCTCCGGGCGTAATTCGTTCGTGTGACTTCAGAGTTACTGTTCCTGAGACAAGCAATAGGGTTATTCTCTGTCATTCTAAAAATTGTGTACAGTATGTGATACACAACCCTTCGAGCAGAAAAAGTGTCCATGACCTATCTCCGAACTGTCATTTTTTTTCAGTTTTACAAATGAATCAAAGGAACTATGCGCCGCGGGAAGAACAAAAATCACACAACTAATTGAGCTCAAGAATATAGCCGTTTGCATTTTATCCAGTTTAATATGCGTGAGTTGTTCTGTATAAGCACTCTGGATTTGGAAGTATTCAGCTATAGGGACCGAACAAAAAATCCATGAAAGAGCTCCCTTCGACAAACTGAACGTTCCTTGTATAAGAATGTATTCATATCCATTACGAAAAAACCACAATCCATATACGAAGCTGCATTATGTAATATCTAGTAATCTAAAATGTCTAGAAGAATCAACGTACCAGATCCTAGGTTATATCTGAACTCGACATGTCCTTCTCTGAGGGCCAATGACATAAAGTCTCCAGCGCCGGTCATAGTCTGTCCATTGTAGAGCAAGAGTCCGTCGCTAGAGTACGCCTTGAACTCGATCTCAAGTGAGAGACCCTGGTAAGCTTGAAGACGGCGCAGCTCTAAATACGCCTTCCCATTAAAGTGTGGTACCTGGAAAGATTAGATCCAATCAACATAGTAAAGGCTCATTTACTAAACTGCCTCTGCATTACCTACTCTATTCGTATATTGATAGAACAAGCATTCAATAGCAAAGCAAGCTGTATATAAGTTTCTAGAAAATTACTCTGGATAGCTCTGCACCCCTTAGTTGCTAGAGATGCATAGAAACCAGCACGCATAGAGGAGGACACGTTCGTTGAGAGCATAATAAGAATACACGTAACATTGACCTTTGTTATCTGGCCCGTTGTGGTATTCCCACAGCTAACCATTTTCAGCAAGTGTGCCCTATCCTATGCTTAACACAGGATCGGATCAAACTGTGTTGATTAAGACATCCCTCCGCTCACTAAATGCTAATTCCGCATCCCCATCTGCTCCTCTAATTCCTTGAGCTCCCACGTGTTATTAATTATTTGCAGGAAAGATTTGAAAGTAGAAAGTGAGAGCATTAAATAAGAGGGTCGAGATTTCAAAAGCTGATCGACTTCCTGTTACAAAAGATTCCGTAGATAATGTGCTAGCTGAATTAAGCAAGGTCAATCTAATGCTATAGAAGCATTAGGTAAGAGGAAAAATGTATTTGTAGTAGGTAGTGCATGCGGACTCTGTTGATTCGGTAAAGTTTTAAGATAAGTTACCGCAATCATCGTCATATAATTGCTGCTATTAAAAAATAAAGGCGCGACTATTAGAGGTCCACTGTATGTAAGATCTTTTAGCTCCGTTGAAGAATACGTATTGGTCATGAATGACTGCTAGATCTCGAATACCAGCTACCTCAGTGGTAGCAATTTAACGTCTGCTTTAAAATCTAGCAAATGGCAGACGTCGCCATTGTATGATAATGTGTTTTAATGTTCAACATCCACACGTGAAACAATACTCGCACGACTAATCATCAATAGTAATATCCTTCAAATATATCACTTAGTTGAACGGTCGAAGCTGACAAGCTGCGCCAACATATCAGGTCTCCTTTAATATGTTAGACAACGACGTTCGGTAAAACAAATTTTGCTCAATTTATTGACCCAACACTTAGCTGCCAATGCGCAAGGATATTCAGGCCTTTACACGATCAGTCCAATCGAATTCTGATCGTTTTCGTACTCAAAAAAAATAACCTAATTCTAGTTCAGGTTGTAGAGCATCCTAGAGCAAATATTTTATATAGAGCCTAATGGGAAAATGACACACCGACCTGCCAGACGGCAAAGAACAGGCTTTCTGGGGAATATCAGAGTCTTTGAGGAATGTACGCTCTGCACTCAAACACGCTTTCCGACAATTCTGCGACGCTTAGAATACATATACGTTTCCTGCGTGCCATCTTTCACTCTCTCACCGTACCGCCATTCTGCGTCTTTCTCGAAAATGATGTGGAATTCACCGGCCATTACAGCATTATTTGATTTGTGGATAAGCACATTCTCTTGTCAAGTCTTGTGAATGTGGAGAAAGGTACAGGGGACGCTGCTCGGGCTCTTATTGAATCAGAAGCATCGTCTCAGAAATGCGTAAAAACGAGGACAAAAAGGCGGGAGTGCAGAGCAATCTTGTGCCCCTTCTGCGAATCGACAAGACAACGCGAGATTCGCGGAGTATTGGGGTGGATCTGCTTCGTGACAAGAAATTACATTCTATGAATTCTTCGAATAGAAAAAGATCTAACAGTATTTGAGAGAAATGCGTGTAGGATTCCGTTGTCATGGCGAAAAACAGCCAAGGTCGAAACGTATATATTTTGGCTGTGGTTCTAAACCTTTCTTGTGAACTTTGAATAATGCGTCACAATATAGGTTTAAGTGGGCACAACCTGCATGTTGTCATTAACAATCAAATTGAATGGCACCTGAAAGATTTTACTTCAGAGACCGCACATACTGTTATACATTGATGCATGCTTTGATTGCAATCAGTTACTAGAAATCTAATTTTTTGTAAGTTTCAAGTCATCCAGTAAATCATTTTATTTGCACGACTTCCAAGGGCAATTGAAACCCAATTTAAATTTTTGAATGGTGTGCCTTCTTCATACTGTAGCTAAAGCGTATATAAGATTTTTTTTTAATTCTACACGTAACAGTATCGGTTGTCAATGCTGTTACGCTTTATATCATCATGCAAAGCAATGTTTGCCAATTATATCCCCCCTTAACACACTTACCTGAATGGAATCGTCGTTCGTAAAAGCAAAAAGCCCGTTTGAGGCCTCCGTCGGTCGAAAATAGTCATCGGGGGAACTGGACAGACTTTGCAGATCGCGTGTAGACTTATGGTCATTATCCCGGTCTTCGTGATCGCGGTCAATTGTGGAACGCCGCTGGGGCCCAACCGTTGGGGCTATCTCGTCTGTTGAAAATAATATACACAACATCGGGATGGAACAATCGAGACAGAGAATCGTTCTACGAACCGCATGGTTACCAGCGCATAAGCGATGTAATGGTATCTAAGAAACACATTTACTCTTCTGGTTAACTTCTATAATTATCCTCTGGATTTATTAGGCAAAACTAGATAGATCACTAAATTCTAGGCTGGTCCTAAGTTTGCACGCAATGTAGGGCCTGATAGAGTGTGCAAGTGCGCACCAAATAGGCAACATAGTTGTCGGAGTTCAAATTTAGAACTAAGCTAGTTTGAAGTAGGTAAGGCACATTTCCAGAGATGAAACGGAACTTGTGATAATTCCTCTTGTTACTAAATTAATGACAATTCTGAAGTTTTTGTGCAACATTGAATATGATGACTATACATCATTTTAAAGTGTTTTCTATATTGCAACGTTTGTACAAAACAATACTTGAGACTGAAACACCTGCAAGGCCCGTTCGTTAAATATGGTTAGCAATTACCCTTTTAACAGTTTCACCATGACTAACCCACCCATTAACAGAAACCTGTGACCCGCTCTGTCCATATTTAAGGGATTATTAAAACGGAATTTTCAAAATGAGGTTTAATAGGAGCATGTTTGGTTCGTGCGTAATATAAACGGCTTCTATTGTGGATCTGCGTATATAGCGTTCATTTGCTATACCAGCATGACAGTGGCCAAGATGAACGATGGATATATGTTTCTGTGTGCGACAACTGAACTCTCGCAGTTGACAAGCACTGCCGTATGTCATCCCATCTGAACCGCAAACGGAGCCTCCCTGATCTTCTTCAGCCGAGCACCGAATCTCGCATGCACAAAGAGCTTCCCCTGGACTCCGTTGTTGGCACACCGCCCCATGACGACACACCAGCGTTGCGCATGTGCCGCTTGTCGGGCGCACCAGCGATGCTGAGGATTTTCACAGAAACGACCGAAAAATGGAAAAAAAAATTAGACCATAATTCTTAGGTTATAATTCTTAGGTTGTCGAAATAGTACTTGATAACTTCTAATAGAACAAATTGAAACTCCGTTTAGATCTAAGATGAGCTAGCACGACAAAGAAACGGCCGTTTGTTTTGTTAGAACTGAACATAACAACTGTAGTATTCCAGTAAATACAAATATGATAGCCTTTCTCCATACGAGAACTCATATTTCTACCACTGCTAAACCTCCTGCCTAAGTCGGTTTTCCGTAACTGCTGTGATACATACCATCGGTGCATCCGTCTGCACTGAGCACTTCTCCCTTGGGGCATGAGTCGCACTTCATGCCTTGCACACCGTGCTTGCATACGCAGCGTCCCGTCATCTGCTCGCAATCATCTCGCACAGACCCTAGGGGATGACATTCGCATAGAGAGCAACCGGCCTGACCTCCTGCTTCGCCGATACGGTGAAGACCCCAGTAGCCCGGCTCACACCTGAAAGCTCATGTAATAAATACAGTTACTCGAAGTGAATAAAAAATGCGTGTATAATCCTGCCAATAGTCGCCTCTGTTGTGACACACCAACATTTTTTCTAAGCGGCCGTTTGATACAAGTGGGGCATCGAATATATGGCGACAAGCTGAATACGACTACCGAATTTTGGACGTTAAATCCTAAACCCGCAAGTAGGGGCAACTAAAAAATAAGAATAGTGAATCCGAGTACTTGGTTATTAGGAGCGATGCTTTTATGGAACGCACTGCTTTGATCGCGAAATCGAAAAAGTATTACTGTTTTTTAATGAGATATGTACATAATTCGAAATTAAGCTGATTGATCAATCCTGATCTGTGTGATAAAATATCACCTTAATTTAACTGCAACGATAGAGTTCGAGGCTTTTGAGAGGGACCATACTCCTATTGTGAGATTGTAATAGCTGTAAACATCAGCAACTAGAAATATGAAATCGGATCGCAAGAAGTTTTGCGCAATTTACACTTCAGTAAAGAAGAACTCTGCGGAAGGAATGTAGAAGGGAGCATTAAACATAGAGGGGTACTGTTTTTCATGGTCCAAATCACTACACAAAGAAATTACTAAACAGTCTAATGATATTCGGTATTGCCATAAGAGCCGAAATAGGCTCATTGAAATTTCGGGATTTCCATCTCCTCAGTACATTGCATAATAGGGACAGGCAGCGATCAAACCGCAACGCTACTTAACGCCTTACAGTTGTGCCGATGTAGGACGAAGGAAACGATGCCGCGAGGAACAACCTTTGCTGAAGTGGGGCATGGGCAGTTTGGCATCAAAGAACAGAACGGTGTCTACCAAAAGAGGAGAGCACTAGCTTCATCTGATTCTAGTATTTGCTATGGCACAATGAAGCAATAAACCATAGTGTTGACAACAATTTCGCATAGTTTTCCTTATTGGAAACAAGTAGAAAACACAAGTGTTACTTTAGCGTCATCATAAGAGATAGCCGAATCCATTGAAGCGAGGTAAGGCTTCAATAAAGCCCTATTCTTAGGTTCTAGGTCTAGGCTCGAATGCGGGCATAGACAAGCTTCGTTTCGTGCCGGGAGCTAGTTGTCTGATGAAATAAATGCCTAACGGTGGTGCCGGATGAAAAACTCGAAACATAGGCTAGATAAGGCCCTCGATTTATATAACGCACGCATTTAATATAAAACTAGCTTTATTTTACATTTTTTGAATTTACATTACGTTTTTTATACGAGCGTTTTTTTTATTATCGTTAATGCTAGTTGGGTGTAAAATATAAATTAAAAAAAAGGTAATGATTAACAATGCTACACTTTATATGCCCCGAAACTGTTAACTAGTTCAGAAGGTAGCGGCCTCCCTTGTTTCTTGCCCTCTATTTTTAATGTCAACTCTGTTTTTCAATAAAATCAAAAAGCTGCTGAAACGATTCTTGTCCTTTTCGGCCAAGTTTTTGATGCTGAGAGTAAGTACTACTCAAAAGTGACATGATGAACCCGACCTTTCGAAATGGCTAATTGTTACATGAACCTATATTCTTAAGCTAAGTACTTCTCATCTAATACATTACGGAAGCATTTCCGGAGCATTTCGCAGAACTCTGAAACTGGGTAAAGATTGGTATCACAATTTCGTTTCGTTTACGTCCGACGCTACCATCTGCAGAGCCCTGACAAAGACAGATCAAGTGCAGTCAATGTATCTATTGATAAACTCGTTGGCAATTAGGTCCCCACGGGCTTCCTCAATGGACCTTTTTAAATATAAGTATATGCAGGCTTACTGAGCAATTAGGGATAACGTCTACTATTTGTTTTGAAGATGGCTCATCAGTCGGATTAAAGCAAACTTCGTTGTCCACTAACTCTCGTTGTTTTTCGGACCGGTCGAACACAAACTACGAATTCGATCGGTCATTATCGAACCTTTCTCAGAAAAGAATTCGCGTATTTTGGCTTGAATACAACCTATATACGTAAATATGATTCACTTCAATAAATATCACATATGCTAAATACATATACCGGAATATATTTTTTCTGTATGCAAAATATTACGGCGCTCCTAAACACAAGCTGGAAAAAGTAGCACATAATCATTAAAGACATTTATTTCCCAGTGCAAGAAATATTTATTGTTCACAGCTATTCACGTGGGATTGTTACCCAACGACTGAAAAAGTTCACAGCTGACGTAGCCATAGAACACTGATGTGTTATCCGCATGCACGTTGACATATAACTGCAAGCGTAACTAAATACATGTCCATGTACTCACTGGTTACAACTCGATTTTCTTACTGCAATACTGACCTTTCGCACCGAAGTCCTCCGACGCCAGGCTTGCACTGACATTGCTTGGAGACGGAGTCGCACATTGTGCCGATGGAACCAAGCTTGTTACACCCACAGGTGCCCGGGCAGCCCAGATAGCCAGGACCTAGGGCAGCTGCGACGTTGTCAGGACAGCAGCCATGTTTGCTAAACATGCATTTCGTTGTTTTCGCTAGAAGAACGAAATACAAGTGGGACTTAGTCGACTTACGTCCTCGCAACATCACCGCACTATCTGCTACCAAATTAACTAAAACAGTTTTGTCAAACAAGGTGTCGCTATAGCACAGAGCAGAAAGATTAGACAGACTGCCCGACAGTTTGAATCCTTTTTCGTTCTTCCTCCGACTGAAGAACTGCTTGCTCTATCGATGAGGACACACGACTCATTTTCCCTACAGTAGCACCCCACTGGCTTTATTTAGGACGTTGATGCACGATCATCGTATGCATAATTCAAGTTCTGTGTGATATTTTATGTATTGCAGTGGAAAAAGAATCCCTCACAGCTACATAGATACGCATCTCAAATCGAATATGCAGCACTCACGTCCGATCCATGGTAAACCAACCTCTTTTTTCGCAGCAAGTGGCGAAACCAATGCCCTTATGGCAATATGATCCGCCAGGACAGATTTTGCCTCCTTCGCCACAGTAATACTCGTTGCCAGTTGCTGGGTCTTTGAGAGGAAGGCCGCCTTCACACGGCAACGAACTTTTGCCATCTAAAGTGAATTAATAATGAATACGACAATTATTAGTGCTAAAAGTAGGTAATGATATTAAATCTTTTGTTAATCTTGTTACCGTTTATAGAGTTACTTCTTTAAGCAAAGAAAATGTCAATCTACAATACGTATATTTTGCTTACTCGTCCCTCGGATGCTACGCTGGTATTAACGTTTGCACAGAAAGCTCATTCGTGTTGATTCTGTAGAGTTTTATTAATTTGAATTATAGAATAGAGTCTCTGTTAATCAAGTCAGACATTTTGTTCTGTCTATCTATGCCTTAACAGCACACCCAGCTTTTAACAAGGTACCTTTTCATATTCATAGACGAAGTGTCATGAAATGGTAAAGAGATGCTATGCGTTCTGTAAATCTGATCTATTAGCAATTTTTAGATGAGACGGTAGATTTATATATACACATATATGTAACAGGCCGTATTTTTATGGTTTGTAGAGGCTGGTTCACATCTGGTTAGCGATAATCCTTAACCCATTGATAGCAGACTTTTAACGAACCTCAGCAGCAAAGCCAGCAAACACAAGATTTCAAGTGGTCAAATAAGGCTAAGCAGGCAAACTTCCTGCGTGAATAACGGCCTGTCTGATCGACGGCTATCATATACATGTGTGTACTGGATACGGTCTGTGGACCTTCTATTGGCGATAAGGTGCGTTCGTCTGTAAGTAACGCTTGCCACTTTCTCCTAGCAACCAGTATAGCAAACTAATATCAAACTCGGTCAACTTTGACGAGTACTCTACTGAAGTATCAGCTAAAACCATGGGACAACAGCTCTCTCTGGCAAGACAACCTAAGGCAAACTAATTAGATTGCAGGACACGAACGCGATGTGCAATATAACGAACGAGACGTTCCTTTTCTGAATAAAGAGTATAACTTATTTTCATCATCAGCACAAACTGTAACATACATCACTAGAAATCAGCTTCACAAATTTAGCTCTGGATTAAATTAGCTGCTCACTGCGAGAACTTAAACAAAATTTACGTCAGTCGCATCTCTTATGTTATCTCTTGTTGATAAACAAATCAAAGTGTACAAGCAATTAAAAGATGAAATTCTGACACAAAGTATGTGTTTAACTAAATTTGTGTTTATTTCACGGTATTAGACGCTTTTCTTCACAAACATGACCGATGACAAGTTAAAATAATATGGTTAACTAAATAAATACGCTTATAAATAAAAACAATAGGATCTCACTCTTTTTACATAGGTAGACAACTAATCTGAGGTAGTTAGTATATGGGAAGTACAATCACAGTGATGAATGCGATATTGGAGCAGGTCTGCTAGCATGCACGCTTCCAGATATCACCTAATATAATGTTACATGTGTTTTCTAAGATAGATTCTGAGAAACCTACTTTTTTACAGTACAAAACGGCGCCTGGCTTGGAATGATATTATTAAAATGGTTGGTAGGACTCCAATGATGAGTGGACGCTCAACGTCAGAATTGTTTTTAACGAACACTGTGCAAGAACGTTTCAGCTGCCTTCTTTGATACAGGAGACTGAGAAGGAAGTGCCTTAAGACGCGTGGCGATTCCTTGTTTCCCGTTCTCTCTCGCCTCTACTCTGATTCCCTTTTTGATCGTGGGAGTAGTGATATCCATGGGAAGCTTCGGTCGGCTAAGGTAGTCGCAGACTGGCTAGCCCTGGGCTGCCTGCTGGCTTTGATATGCTGTCAGAGCGAGCTGCTGCTGCTGCTGCTTCTATTCGCTTGAGGGGAACCAAGTATAGCGGTAATGGCAGTAGAAGGCGTACGCTTGAGAGGAGCTGAGCCGGAAGAGTCAATGGATTTGACGTGCGTCCGACACAAAAGCAGAGCTTGCAGAGTCGCTTAGCGACTTGGCAAGCCACACTCGGCTGAGCTCATTGTCACGAATCCGTCGAGACCTCCAAGCAAGAGACTCCTTCCCTACCCCCACGATTCACCCAAGCCCCGCAAAGCCCCCGAAGCGACACACATGCAATGTCTCGCACAAAGCTCAGTTCACGATGCCTGCCAGCCAGCTAGCCAAGCAGGTGGTTCGACTGATTAGCTATGCCGTCCTCTAGCTGGCAATGGCGCGAACCTTCCTAAACGTGCAAAGTTGTCGGAACATAGCTCCGGCTAATACAACCTGCCTTGATACCGGGTCCGTTATGTAGCTTAGCAGACTAAAGCTAACCGCAGTATCTAGCTAGGCTAAAAGTGACTATGCGCGCTAACGGCCTGAACTTTTTTAATACAAGCTTAAAATTGCTATTTAGACTGGCATAGTGGTTAAGGTACGAGATTTATAAGTTCAAGGTTTTGGATTCGAATGACTTAGCTTAGCATACAGTAGCTACGAGTGAGAGCAGCACGAATAACGTCAGGCTCCTTGTCAAAAACATAGTCTCTTAGAAATAGTCCTCACTGAGCCACAGGCAATAGACCTCCCGTAGATGTATTAATACTTGGAAAGTTCAATCCGATAAAGGAAAGCTAATCATTGTGTGAGACCGTTATTGAGCTTTTCGTTTTATCGACTTCCTTAGCTGGTCCATCGAGTTTTCTCTAGAATGATGGTATTTACGGTAACCATAGATATATCGCCCACAAAGTGATAGGCTTAAACGTTTCATGGGGTATCGAGTCTTTTATTTGATTCAAACGCGTACAGTGTGCTTTTGCCAAATAGTAGGCTCAACTGATAAATTTTTAGGGTCCCAAAAAGACAGGCTTTAGTAATGTTAAAAAATTCAACAAAACATTCAGATTATGTTTATTTTAACGTTCTACGTGCGTTTATTCTGTTATTAAAATAAGGAGGCTTACCAGGCACCATCATTTTATTATGAGGATTGTTATCGCGTGACAAACAACGGTCGCGCGGAACGGACTTTAGGTGTTTCTGCTTCCTGCAGGCCTCCATTTGAACATGACACGCAGACGCATACCTGAAGAATAAACAAAAATAACAAATATCAAAACTCGCATGTTAATGATATATTTTATCAATAATATCTATTGTTTGAAAGTATGCTGTTTGTTTGATTGTACAGCCTATTTCGTGTAAATGCAAATACGTGGTCAACTAAGAGGAGTGCAATAATGAACAGAATAGAATTTCTCCGAAATGTTTTGTACAGTCTACTGGCAAATATGGTCTTCTTCGAAGGCTATTGCTTAAATAAAGATTATCGACAAGGAACCCAGCAGATGTGCGTAACGAAATTAAGATTGATAGGACTTAAAAAAGAACATGTTTAAAAAGAGACCGGTAGTTTTCGCCTGAATTCTCGATTTTTCGCTTAAAGTATCAACGTCTCTCAACCTTGAATGCCAGCAGCCCGCGCCAAATTAAGACCAACTTCTTACTGACCCATCTATCCTTTAAAGTTGTCTTACCACAGAAACAAAAATGTTCATAATTGTTCTATAATTATTTCTCATAAACAGGATATTTTTGTAATTCGAATTTGCTGCCTTATCGGTACTGTCGCATTACCAAGTGATTACCCAATGATGAAAAAACCACCTTCCATATACTTGATCACAAAATTATACGAATATCCGAAATTCATAAATAGGATTTTATACTGCACAAAATTGTCCATAAGATTTTGGAAAACTTCGACATTCTTTTTTACCTATATGTAGCCAATTCATTATTTACATACTTCATAGAAAAATTCTATGGCATATAAGTGCATACTGCTGAATAAATTGTTGGGCAAGTTTAAGAGCTTGCTGACGTTCCCATAAATTACGTTTCAGGGGGATGACAAATATATTCTATCGGGCTAAATCAATATTCCTGTCGTATAGTCATAGCTCTGCCCATTTCTATTATCGCCCCAACAGGGGCAGTCAGAGTTTGCAGGGGCGTCTGAGAGAGAGCGGAAGAAAAGTAAGTAGCACCAGTACGGTGATAGGCAAAATGTCGTTTGTCCTAAATCAGAAGTGGGAAAAAACGAAAATAATCACTATGAGGATTCCAAACAAGAACAGCAATTTCTATGTCATACGGATCCATTAATGTAGGAATCTGCTATCCATGCTGTATTCAAATGCTTCAGCGTAGATGATAACAATTTGTAGAAATGACAGTCATCCAGCAAAATGGAGTAGTTTGCGTTCTAATCGTTGGCTTCTATGAGATAAATCTTCTATGAGAAAGTTAGTTTTGCTTGTTCTCAGTTGAGTAGGTTTTAGAGGTTTTCACTCCACCTACTCAGGATGCCTCTACAAACACGTTCTACATGTAATGTTTTCTAATAATATTAGTCTGTATATATAAGCAGTGGTGGTCTGTAATTTAAATAACACAATATAATGCCTCACTTTTTTTTGTGGGGCTTTCTTCGGATGACAAAAAATCTACTTTCTACAGATGAATATACCATTGTCTTGAAGTGCCAACACGAATTATGGAGACACAATCCAATCCAATAACGAGTGGCTTAGTTAACAGCGCATATGAATTAAATTTGATAGCTAGAAAAAAAAAAACGCTTATCGCCAGAAGAAGACAAGGATTACAACATTGGTTAGTTTAGGACCCTACAATCCATTTAGGCTATTATTTCTTTATCGAAAATTTTGCTTAGCACTGAATAATATCGATTAGTCGATTATTATATGTATAATTATTATATATATATAGGTATAATTATCGATCAGTGGCTGATAGTTAAGTGCACCCTAATGGACAGGACGAGAAACAAGTATCTTTACAGTCTGTTTTTAATATTAACAGCAAGTTAAATTGAAGTCGTTTTTTTAAGCGGGTTAAAAAAACTAAAGGCTTTCGTATTAATAATGAAACTTCACGTTCATGTAACAGCTGTCGTTAGGCCTAGTACCTGGATCGTCCAACTTCGGAACGTGCCATACGTTTTATGCATGATGCCATAACAGGCACGCATGACAAAAGCACTGTTCTATTGCATTACAATAGAACAGTGCTTCTGAATAGCTTTGTTGGAATAATATTTTACAGTCAGAATATCCAGGAAATGTTCTTTTTCTTCTAACCCAAAAAGCAAGGTTTGTCAAAACACAGGGACAATAAGGTAGAAGTCTGATCCTGTGCTGAATAAAATATCGCAAGTGTTTTCAGACATGCTGTTCGGTGCGCGAGCCGCAAGGTTAGTTATTCATCTATAACATATTTTGTACTTATTTACTGAAACATAGTGTTATTAATAATTCACCTTCTGATCCGTTACAGGCTATACTTTGGTAAATGACGTCGGAGCACAAAGACAGAAATAGTTCGTTATTTTTACTAAGTTTTGTATAAATTCGGTCACAAGTAGACAACGTCAGTCTTGCGCATTTTACCCTAGCTAGTACTGGAAATAAGCTTTGTAGCATGAGAAATGCAAATATTAAATGGATAAATAAGTCAAATTTAGTCAAGAAGAATTTTATAACCTATGTGATTCAGGAGCACGTTTCCATATTAAAGGGAAGTATTTAATCATTCCTGTGATGTTCTAATATAGGTGAATATATAGGTGATGTATAGTCACACATAGAAAATAACTGCTTCCTCTTCTTATCGTAGACAAAAGAGTAGTCCGCATATGTTATATATAAACGTATCCGTTCACCAATGATCACCATTCACCCGTTCACCAAACAAACATCAATGATTCCTGCTGTAATATTGCAATTTTCCGAGCATACAATGACGACTCACTTTTTGCCGTCCGACCCGCAGGCGAAGTTCGCGTCATCGACTCGAACGTCGGGGCAGTCAAATTCGCAACGACACTCCATTGGATCACCAGGGAACCGCGGCCGGCAAGTACCGCCGAAACGACATGACTCCTCGCATTTGGTTCCCGACCCCTCTGCAAATATCAAGCGAGAATATTATGCATAGAAATTCCGCTAAGCTGCCACATATGTAAGCTTAAATATAATAACATACACGATTTTATTTCTGTAAAATTACACATTTACCAGCACCGCTTAAGACGAGCATTTTTATACGCTCACGTCGCCATGCAAACGCCATTGAAATTTTACGTTTAGATATAAAAAACCTACATCTAAATTTAGTTATAATGATTTTTTAAGCGGTCGGTTATTTTGACCTGGCATGCTAGAAATAGGTGTAAACAAAATTTCAATGGGTTTCGTATTCAGCAATTAAGCACAGTAAAGGCTTTTTAGTGTCACGCATCTTAAAGGTAGAATACGATGGCGCGGTGGGTTACATATAGACTGCTACATACATGTTGTTGCTTCACTAAAGTGTTAGCCGTCATTCCAATTGCGCACGATACCTTTGAGTTTGAATAGAAGGACTTTCTGTCTTAGTTTAACGGCTGATCAATCTTTGTGTGCCGAGACATACGGGGGTAAAAGGCACAGTAATCGAAAGCTTTTTCTGAATGTTGACAATTCACTCGCACCGGGCCATGTTTGCGCATGCGCTCCGAGAATTTTGTTCAATTAAGGAGTAGCCTCTTGGGAAGAACTTTTGGTTCTATTCAGAACGCGACTAAAGTAAGTTATTCTACGGGTCCTTCTTCAATGAGATTTTGGCTTTCGTTTGTTTCTAAGGTTCTTCTTAAGGACAATACCGTAAAGCTAACCATAGCTGTGAAAAGAAATCCGACTTGAAATCTGGCTTGAGGGCCATTCGTGCGTTTGGTGGTATTGCCTATTTATGATCATCCTGCCTAGAAAGAAGCCAGATGAAGCATTCGTTTAATGCAGCTACAGCAATCTCGTATGATCTCTTCTAGGATTGCTTGAGTGACATTTCAGTTCGTCAGGATCCTCCGAGAGCCCTTTTCAATGTCCTATCGGCCTTTTCTAACCTTTCCGTCCCTGTTAAAGCACTGTTACGTCCCTGCTCGCCAGTTATCGAAAGCAACCCTCAAGGAAGTTTAGATAAACAAGGAAGTCGACGGAACTAAAAGTAACTGGCTTAAACCGAGAATATCAAATGACATTTATGCCCTCACTACGGCATACGACTCGTCTTCTGTCAATCTTTCCCACTTCTTACGAAACGTAACTGTGCCGTATAATTCTCAGCACGAGCTACCGGATATATAATCCAGTACTACCTTTTCGCCCCAAGTCGCTTCAAACAACGGGTATTCGTAGCGGCGAACAGCCGGGATGCGACGTGTGAAACACGATTATTTAAGACAAATTAGGCTGATTAGGGTGACTCAGGAACGAATAGAAATGCGACCTGGCTGATGACATGATACTTCCTCTCAACAGGCAAGAAAAATAAAATGAATCTCTAGAAAATGTCGACAATGTACGATTGTTATGTGAGATTATATATCTCCCTATTGCTACTAAAGCCTGCCTACGCAGGAAGCGATTCAAGATAGCTTAGCTCGTGTAAAATTGCCGCCTTTCCAGCCGAACAAGTTATCATTTAGGGCAAAACAGCAAACTAGCACGTTTTGCGGGAAAAGTGAAGAACTCCACGATCTAGATTGCTACTGCGGGAACAACAACGTTGCAGAAAGAACAACAGCAGTTATTCGATTGAACAGTATTTTTTTCATTGGACCTTCACGATACGATTCATTTTCATCAGATATAGTGAAACCTGTATCCAAAGTATAGGTAATACAAACGAGAGAGAGACCGGAGAAATGAATAGTGAAAACGTTTGTCTGACAAACGTTTTTCTGCAAGCCTACTAATCTTCGAACAAAAAACAGATCTTGAATAGTAAATCTCTGCATGCTAGCATGTGACCTGCTCTCAAAGTTCATAGCTGCTCGAGCATGTGCCACGATAATAATAGTAACGATGGCCCATTTGCACGACTATTACAAACAAAGATTTTTGTGAAGATTCTAGGAGAAAAGAAGGCAATATTAGAAAGTACAGTAGCGCAACAAAATCCGTATCTTTGGTTCAGAAAAGGAAGTAGTAGTTTGCAAAGGGTGCTAACATATATTTCCTGAAGGGAAGTCGGACTCACCAGGACAGGCCATTCACGAAATGACAACAGTTCACTATCGGAAATGGCTGGACCGTTAAGGACGATGGGAGGTGTCGTCGTAAGAATGACGTTTTTTACTGTCTGGCTGCTCACCCAGTCTCCTTCGGCCACCAAATTTATGTTGTCATAGCGACGATGGAATTGAAATGTCGGAAGTCAAAGCGTTTCCACTGAAGTCTATCTCGCTAGTAATACTTCTCGCTAGTAAAGACTACCCTTTTTTCTACGTCTATTATTCTCTTTTTTCAAATAAATAGTCCTTGCATCGCTTTTCAAATCGCTAACTGTAATGAAAGTCAGGCACGTTCAAACTTCTTTGTACCAAGCTAAAGAAGTTATTATTCAGAATTTCACTACCTTATAATAATTACATTATCAATGGCAATAACGTTATAGCCATTTCAGATCTTAGATTTTATCAGAAAATCCGCCAAAAAACAGTTTTTAGAGAATGCATCTGACCGATTTGCTGTCTATCGAATTCTGTGCGATAGCTTTATTGTGTGCAACCTAGCTGAAGACGTCGTTCTAAAAAATCATCTTTGCGCAGAGTCTCGACAATCGATATGTTTTTTTAAAATTCTTTTCACTTTGTCGATATATGTAACTGCCCTTTGGTAGCAAAAAGCTGTTTTATTCCAAATTTATTGGGAAACTTGGAAAGTTGAAAGTCGAATATACGTGTAATCAGAACGAAGCCTTAACTATGTAGGAAAGTGCGTAAAGTCATGATATGGAGTGTTTGCGTCGAATAGGAGGATATATGACGGAGTAAAATGACGAGAAGGAAAAAGAAACAAGAGAAACGTTGCTTGGGGGGAGGCTAGGCGGCGGCGGCGAAGGCAGTGATGGCCATTAGCGGAAAGGTGGCTATAAAGTCAGCCGCCTGGCAATGTTTTGGGGTGGAATAGTCCGCGGCCGTTGCCACAAACCGTAAAGACGGAAAGCTAACGTGCGCTGCTGCCCGCGGTCGCGAAAGCAGATCTCTTTTGCTAGTTTGCGTTCTCTCGTTTGGTGCTTTCATCCTCGACTATAGCCCGCTCGTGTCTCCATAGAAGTGAAATCAGTGCTCCACAAAGATGGTTGCTTCAGAGACCGGCGCAAGACGGGACTCGAAGAAAAAAGCGCGTTAGCAGTCCAGTCTCTCATTGCGTTTTCTTTTCGGCTAGAAGCTCCGAACTGTCTCGAATAGACGAGGCGTGGCATAGGTTAGCTTAGGCAGTTCGCCTTTCTCAGATCCCTCCCAAGGGAAAGAAGCTTTTGCAGCAGGAGCTCAAGAATTCCACATCCAAAACCACGTTGAGGGAATATACCTCCCAACATGTATGCGACAGATGTATCCTTACTTGCTGTTTGTGTCAGTTACCTCAACTCAGTACTAAGCAGCAGTGGTAAGCTGGCAAAAAGTCTTACAACTGTCGAAGGTGGAACACAAACAAGGTGTAGAAAAAAAAAATTGATACCATTTAGATAATTTAGATTATAAGAAACGAAGTTCCCTAAAATTGTAAATAGGGGGTGCTCAGAAAATTATGCCATCCCATTAGAGATTGTATAAATTCTAAAAATTCTCATAAAAACTTTCCAGCAAACCTGTGAAAACAGCATCATGTATTGAAGCATAAGCATAAGTAAGTAAGTAAATTGAGGTAAGTATTTACATGTGCTGTTTCTGAATTTCGTTTAGTTTTCAATAGCATGCCGTAACTTACCGACCCTGTATATTGAAAAAAAGAAACAGTGATCCAATAATACTAGATTTGGATTGTGAACAGGGTTACGTTATCAGCTAAAAGGTACACGTGAACTTGGTTGCAATATTTGAAGTTAGAATTTAAAAGTAAGATTAAAAGCAAGTTTGAATTGAAAGTCTGCTTTTTAGTTTTCTTTAATGCAGCATGATTCTGAAGCTTAGGGCAGATATATTGCACCCCGGACTAAGTAGAGACAGCTCCTTAAAATATATAGATGCCCACATAACGATATCTGTAAAAGTAAGGTTCACTACCAATGGTACATACTCTGGTACTCTGTGGCGTTTTATTTTATTTTATGTACAGACCTGCTGAAGCCACGACTTCATCGTCGCACTCTTTAAAGTGCAGAACCTGAAGCTGGCGGCCCTTTCGACATGAGGCCTGGCGTAATTCACACTCCGTATGGTACGTGACCCCGTCATTTCCGCAGACAGGCTGGTATGAGCCTTCAGGGCAGTCTGTGGGGCACACACACTCTCCATTCTCACATCGTGCCCCAAAATGGCACATCACATTCGAGCACATGTCTGCAACGAAAAGCAAAGGTAAAACCTCATTAGGTCAACATACGGTATGACTTAGGAAAGCAACACCTGGAGCTCTCCCGGAACCACTAATTCAGGAAAGTCGCTAGAATCCATCAAATGACTCCTAACGTCTAACGATGTTCTTCTCATCTACATTTAATCTATTTGATTTCAGAAACTCAGAGAATATTCAGAAACGAAATCGATGTGTCCGATAATGTATGGTAGTAACTTTTATGTTATCGGCGTTGTTTATGTTTAAACATGCTAGAAAGTCGGTGTACCTTCGAGCAGAATATTTTTCTACTTGACTCTACCGAATATAGTGCAACTGTCGTACGATGGTGCGCAGCTATCAACGGTCTCCAGAGCCAGCATAAGTGAAATTCAGTCAGACTCGACGGTGGAAAGCTAGTCTGTTAACCAAAGAAAAGTAATGGAACCCTTCATGCCCCTGTTCTTCATTTCTGGCTGATCCTACGATCACAACTTTTTGCGCATTTACCAATAACGTGCGAGCCTTCTGGCTGCAAAAGAAATGTGCTGCCACTAAGCGGTTGAGGATCTCAGAGATTCAAAGCGTCCCATGCGCTTGCAACTTCCGTTGATAGCACTGTATTAACGATGTTAATTATAAAATCATGTTTTTGTTTTCCAGAATTTTGAATTGCGGCTCATTTGAACACAACCAAACAGACGTTGATTCGTCGACTGTAAAAAAAGCTTTTGTATGGCTTCAGTCCGCTACGAGCATGTAAATAAAATAGTAAGCGTTAACACTAAAGTAAGACAGTCTACATTTCGGTCAGCGCAAAATTTTCTACAACCTAAACTGAAAAAGTACTATTGAATATATTTAGTTTCACGCTACGAGTCTAACAAACTAAACTAATGAAACGCCAGGTTGTACGATTGTGCAACCTGAGAACAAACCAGGTTGCCGAACGGTTCTATGGGTGGCGTTAGTCTGCTAGGATTTATCTTACCGCACGGTCCCGTGGATGAGACGGCTATATCAGTCTTTGAGTTGCACGCGTCTACCTGCAACTCGCATTCATTTTCGTATGTCTTTCCATTACTCCCGCAAACAGGGAATTTCACCTGCAATATGAAGCGCAGGAAACATTGTTATTGTCGACAGGCTTTTCTGAACTCTGAAAAGGAGTTTGTATTGTAAATATGTCATTAAGCAACATTCGCTTAGATGGCTTTCCCACTCAGCTACAATCTGGTACAATAGGCTGTTGTGTATTAGCCTGTCAGTATCAGCAAGTCATATGGCGATAAAGATTCCAAAATGGCTTACTTAGACGAGAAGAAAATGCTGCCAGACAGTAAATTTTGTTAGCTGTTTTTTTTGGACACGCTTTCCTAGAAACATGCAGTTGAACAAGGTTTGCACTAGCCATATTTATGAGATAAATAGAACACCGTAAGTAGACACTGACTGACTTTGTCTCGAATGACGTCCCCAGGTGACAATACCTGAATCCTTAACTGGATCCTTGGAGGCTAATTTTACAGAGCGGATTCTTAGCTTCGTCTGCTGTCTTATGGGATAATGGAGATAGGTTCTTGAGGAAAATAACACGCCGGTCGAGAACGATCGATGGAAGGGTCTACTTTATCAAATGAACATTTATTGTAAATTGACACTAGAAGAACATTGCACCTTCCTGAAAGTATTAAGTATTGTTCTAATGGGCTTCTTGAAGTTCTGCCTTACAAATTTGGATGACATTTGTCTTTGGTATTACCTAATGACAGGTCAACTGGAATCTCGGTTATCACTTCTCATAAGCGCCTACTGAACTAGGAAATCTGCTATTTACAATCCATGTTTAAGTTTACTTCAGCTTTCTAATTCTCACTCTACTTTCTCTGAAAAGGCACATGATGGGGGGAATAGAACCAAGGTACCAAAAAATAGTTAACTAATCGTCATTTCCGGGTGATATTTAAGATCCGCTGTCTTGCAAGGATGACCTTGTCGCAAAGTGTTCAAAGAGGACATGAGCATGATGATTCAAGTCCAGATGGTAGATTGTTCATGGAAATTGCTCTTTTTTATAAATGATCCTGCTTACTTTCTCAGATACGCATCCTGCCGCTTCCACTAGCTCTGTGCTATTTCTCAAGGTGCTCTTGTGTTTGCTGTTACTATTTCTTGCAGCAGCTGTTGCTGTGTTAACGTCGGCTTCGCTTTAGTGGATCGCGCGGCAAGATTATCATATACTAAAAAGTATTTGAGGGAAATATACAATTTTAATTTGAGACAACTAGGGAACCAAATAGAATGATCAGATTAAGTATTATACATACAACCTAATCCATTAGACCGCACGGCTAATGATAACTAGTTCTTGTAAATGAAACATTACTGGTTTTGGCAAAGCCATGTACATACGCTCCAAAAGACGTTTATAGATCCAAAGAGACCGGTACAAGCTGGCCACTTGGCCTCTTCGTGAGTAGCCGTTGCGATAAAAATTTTCGTATCCTGAACAGAAGTCCGCTTCAACGGAACCAATTAGGATTTTTTGTGGTAAAAGTACAGCTCTGTACCGCACACTGCAGAATTGAAACTGTACAGCGGATTTCAAATAACAATCGAAAGCTCGAGACTTTAACAAGAACATGACGGGTTGAAATTCTTGTCTGATCAACAAACACTTGATTGTTTAGTAAAGAAAAAATATATACGATAAGATCTATTGTAGATAAAAGCATACTAACTACGATCTCATTTGTTAGCTAGAAGATGTCCTTGAGGGAGGCTAATGTCCTATGTGCATGTGTCAACCTTTGCATCTTCATTCGCTGTATTATTGAAGTCTTGATCGAAGTAAATACAGTGATCCTTAAACCTTTTTCTGAGGATTCAGTTATTCCAACTGTGATTGAGAAGTTTCATTGAGATCTTGGAGCGCTTAAGTCATAAACGATAAGAGGCACAAATTGTCCAGGCAAGTGTTTTCGGAACTAGTTGTGCTTCCTTACCTTCAAACTGAAATTTTCTGTTAAGTCACGATAAGCTGTAGACAAAATAAGTGGCCTTAGGAGAAATGTGTACCTTAGTAAACCGCATCTTCATTCGAAAAAAAACATTATGTATATCTGGGAAGAACAAAAGGGTCTGATACACTAAGAAATGCTTGATAATAAACGACAGGCCTGGAAAGGACTTATGCTGGTGAAAAACACACAGCAAAACATCTTAACGTGGGAAAAACTGTGTATGATCGAATAGTATCGAGTAAATGAGGCAATGCACCAAAGTCGATCCATAATCCAAATCATCTCTGCCCACAAGAATGTCGAGCCACTTATTGTAAAGGCCGTTAAAGCTGCCCTGCAAAGATTTGACTATAAAGTCTTCTTGCATGCACCATATTTTTTAGACATCGCACTGATGGATTACCATCTTCTCTATTTACTTGAAATCATGTTAGTCGCTTGACTGTCAACACTGGAAATAGAATAAAAAAGCTTAAAAGTAGCTAAATTACTTTAAGTTGGGTGAAATATTGTGTTTTGGATAAAAAATCTGAGTCATCTTAACACAGAAAAGGCTCGTAAGCTTTGTGTTAAACTTGGTCTAACCTTATACAAAGTTCCTCGAAAAAGTGGAAACACATTGACCGCTCTTTCGTGAATAAATATAATGATTTCAAGATTATTTGAAGACTTATTTAAATAACTGTCTTTTTTGGAACTTATTTGGATAACTATAGGTGTCCAAGGAAACTTATTATATATTTTGCAGGGCCAATCCTTCGTTCTCGATATTTGTCTTCTATAACTTAGAAAAGAATCATCTATTTAGAAACGCAATTGAAATTTCTGCTACTAAACTCGGAGCCGGCTGTCGGTCATTTGAAGTTACCGGCTCCTGGAACAGCTCAGGAAAGCGCCCTGGCGAGCGGTGCTAATATGAGTTTAATATCTTGCACATGTAGCATTTTCTTCTGTTCGCTCTCAGCATTTTCCCCTCCCCAGCTCTTATCGCACTCTGCTTTCCTTCACGCTCTTCCATACTGACAATAACTGAGAGCTTCGCCTGCGACTCTGGTCCTCTTTCCCCTTATTCTCACTGTTCTTTTTTTGTTCGCCATTTCCCATCCTATCACTTACTATCTTTAACTGGAACGAAGGCGTCGAACTTATACTCTCGAACGCCAGCGCTTCCAATGAGGCCGTCTAGCTCCAAACGCATGTACGCAAATGTGTACATGTGTGACTTCGTGTGAATTAAGAGTGAAAATAGTGACTGCACAGAGCCAGGCGGTTGCCGGCTGGATCAGTGTCGGATAGGTTCGAGCGGGCATGATACGACGGGAGCGTTGGATTAAATCAAGTCGTGCACCGTCCCTCACAGTCTCCACTCAATTCCAATAACCAACTGCTCGACGGGTCAAACAGCCTCACACAACAACACTTGATCAAAGAAATCGACGACCTCTTTGACTGATCTTTGTACGCTCTCACTTGCTCCTTCTCCCCATCCACCAATCCAAGAGGGACTTTCCTAGCAAAGAGCAAGAAATTCCTCGTGGTAACATTCGACTAGCCAAAACCTTCACTTTATTCTCGGGTTCACGTGGTCTCCAGTTCTGCTTCAGTCGAGTGATTTTGGACTTTCCTAGAGATGGCGAAATGGCAGTGGGCGGTTCAGCTGCAATGACCTAAGGACTTCGGGACGAATCGTTTTTATTGAGAAAGTGTAGTAGCGCATAGAAACGAGCGCGGCTGTGGAGGATCAGAACTCGAGGACAAGAACAAAGTTACGCTTTGTCATGCAAAGTATTCTAAGACCTGCATACGTACTTCTAGTTTCTAAAACTGGACACTTCGTTTGCTCTGGCAATCCCATAGATTAGCGTCGTCGCCCAAAATAAGTCCCACAATTGGCAACGACTACCGGGTGTTCGATATTTTCGATGCTTCGATATTGTTCGGGTATTTTGATCTGCTCGAATGCTTTTTCATGCTTCTTGACCTCTTGCTGTTCATTCTTGCGCAATGGACAGTATATACATGCAGCAATACTCTGTCCATGCCGCACTCCATTGCTAAAATCACTTCGTAGTAGAGTTTAATGACGAGTATTCACTTCGGCTTTCTACCTTGCGAGATCGCGGGCAACACGTTAGCATCACTTTGGACAAAAATACCAAAATAACTAATATTGGTGCTGTAAGTTCTCGCATAGTAACTTGGAATAGTATAAGTAGATTTGAAATAAATGCACGTTAAAGTCATGTAGTGAAATAATTGACGCCCCATGACCTGCAGTGCTTGACATAAAGTAAGTAATACGAAATTGTGAGAATATTAGGTACCGATAAAAATGTGATCGGGAACTAAATTATCCGCCCCAACATGAACATTTTATTTCCTGGTTGCGTTTATATTTACAAATAAGTATATACACAAATACGTATACATGCGGTTTGATCATAATGGTTGGTGTGGTCAAAGCCAGATAGCTGCTTTCCGTTTTCTCCTTTTGATGGTTTGACTTAAATGTTAAGTAGTAAGTTGGATCTTTCAGATGCTGCACGGGTAGCCACGAACTACGCCACAGAGATAATGTTTTTCGGAAAGCCAACTATAGCAAATTCGATGTATTTTAACATCCATTTTCGCTTTCATTCAGTAACTTGTTAGCAATTTAGGCTAGACATTTCGTGCGACATTTTATACTTTAAGTTCCACCCCGTCGACTGTATGTTCATCTACTTCTAGCGTGAATTATCCTTGGATGGCGCGTGATCAAAAGATTTAAAAGTAGTCACATGTTACAATTGACCTAACCAGGGAAGTGATTTTTATATGACTTTGAATAAAATGATTTCAAAAATATTGAGACTATACTATTTACTAATATATAGTCACCAGACTAAAACGCTATCATAAAAGGGCACTTACAGGCTTACAATGTGATGGACATTCGCAGATGGCGTTGCCGTGGTTTGTCTTGCAGATTGCATAATGGTCACATTTCTTGTTGGCGCACGAATCAGCTGAAAAGATTAAATAAAGGACAAAAGAGTCAATTCTAACCGCTCTACTCTAAATTTCAAAATCGATATCGCTTTCGCTTTCATTTCGCAAAGAAAGCCACAGGATGCGATTTACAGCGAACCGAGATGCAGGTCTCACAGAGTATCTAACCGATAACAATCGTAACTCGTAACAACGTTGCCAACTGGGTCACCATTGTGTCATCACCATACCATGTCACATATCACGTCCTCGGGTCTTCGATAACAAACTAATTAAAGGCCTCTGCAGGACTCAATAATTAGGACAGCTAAAAGACACTACGGCTAATATAATCTGCAACTACGGTTATAACGAAACATTTTGATAGGCCTTCTTGCGCCATCAGCTTACTTATCCAGGTAGTTTATTCATCCATACCATATTCAATAGTTTCAAAAAACTTTTGCCATAAAGGTATATTTATTTTGAAAAAAAAAGTGTACCTGCAACATATTATTCCTTATTTATTGCAAAAACATTCTGTTTACTTTCATTTTTATTTTGCTGCCCCATTTTCATTATATTGATGAGCCAGCATCGTAGGGGTACGTACTTCGGTTGCTGAATAAGATCATCGAATAACGGAACACGTCAGTTCCGTAGCCCACCATAACAACCGTAACTTTATAGATATTTTGTTAATGAAAGAGTTTATTCGATTTTCCAGAGACCATAAAGGGCTGTGCACCATTGCAAATAAAATTTAAGGACGCCTATGATTAGAGTTTCTTAGAGAAGCAGGCCCATGAAGGTGGTAAACGATAGGCGCAAGCCTTTTATCGTCAACCAGCCTGTGAAGCGCACGTGATAGCTGAAGTGAAGGCTACGCAATCAGTTACAAATTAATATAATGATAACTGTGTGAATATATACGTGCCATTTTTAAAAAGATGAGTCCACTGAAGGTACCCGCTAGTTACCTCATCGAACCAAATGCAAACGGGTATTTGCCAGTAGTAACAGGGAAATATGTTGGCCCGAATGAGCTGCTCGAATAAAAAAAATTACTTCTTGTCTCACTTTTTCCCCTTATGTATAATAGTAGCGTCACTAATCAACCAAGTTAAAATCAATGCCTCAGTGAAATAGAAATTTCCAGTCTGTTCGACTTGACCAGAAACTTTCCATGAGAATCTGATACTCTATCATTTGCATATATAAGATTAAGGAGGTAATGTTGACACTTGGATTAGAGATAGGACAGAGAAAGAATGAAGATTCGAATTGTCCTCCGCTATCTTATCTTTTTAACGACCAATCTAATGCTTTATGCATACCATAGAAGACGTATAATACTTTTGCATCCAACTCCTTGTGACGGGTGGGATCTGTCCGCCGAGAAGGTTAACAACAAACACATTGTCTACAGTCGGCGTCATTTGAACCAGGCTAGACCTTTGGTAAGTCCTATACTATGAGTCACGTACTAATAGGACAGAGCGGGATGAAACAGATAAATAGGTAGGTAACGATAGTAGAGAGACCCACTCGAGTGGGCTTAACATGGAGTTGAAAAACGCGGAGTTTCAATGTAAACAAAGGGTGCCCACCCAGCTAAAAATTAGGGGAAACACAGGACAAAAAGGGTATTCTTGGCCGCCTTTACTTAGTCAAGGGTCAACAGCAGATCACAGTAGGGGGTGAGCGAGCTGTGGAGTAGCTTGGGTCATGGCCTGTGCTCAAAACACGAAATGGGCCGACTGAACGGGGCTGGGCTGCAGAAAGCGGTGTGAGGGGCAGCATCGGCGGTGGTAGTAGCAAAGCGACGCAAGCAGCACGCGTCAACGCTTTTTACGCTTCCGCCGTTTTCACGAAGGCCAACGAAGCCTTTTTTCTTTTGTATATCATCCCACAACTTTCACCTCGCACTCCTCTCCGCTTGTTCTTTATATATGTGCATGCTTCCTTCTTTCTTTTTTTCTGTTTCTGCCATTTTCTTTGTTCCTTTTTTCGTCGTCTCTTCAACGTCGGTCTCTTTTTGTCCCCTTTAACGCTCTCTGGCCAGTATCCAAAAACAAATGCTTGTCCGTTCTTCTGTTCGGTACAACCGCTCGACGTACGCACGTTTACTCAGGAGAAGCAACCCAAGCGAATTGGCCCTTTTGATATTTCACCATCCCTGATTCTGGGCTATACTTGCAACTTAAAGCATCGCCAACACAACCATTATGCTGTTTTTGGCTTTCACATGTAAAACAGTGTTTGAAAAAGTATAGAAGGGGACTGCACGGGACGCAGGCCACGCTTTTTGTACGTCTAAGCATCTTTCTAAACGCTAGCAAGCTCTTTTGCGTTGCTTTATGACTCCGCTCACGGTTAAGGGTAAGCGTGCCTGTTCCGGTCGTTCAGAATGCAGCCAACAGCAGAAAGAGCACAATAAACATTGCCCAGCGGCACTGGTGGTTTCCATACCAAAGAATAACCGCTGAAGAGCGCAGAATACAAACAACTAGAGACAAATCAAGGTGGTAACAAGCGGGTGTGACGTTCATACGTGTTTTCATATCGGAGATGTCAAGGTCAATGCCATATTATTATTCTTAATCTATAAGGCCCCTTGGAATACCGGTCAGTAGCGTTCGGTAGAAGCTAAGGCGGTTGGAAAGAGGAAAGGAGAAATAACACTAGGCAAAAAAAATAGTTATATAGCAAGAGCACAATTGAAAGCAAGGATTTAGCATGACTATACAAAATTACTATTACTAGCGGACTCTATTAGATAACCGAATAAGTAGACACCTGACCCAAGGAATAGGATACAGTTAGAATGACTTTGGCTGAAACAAGCGTTGACCAGTCAGCTAGTCTTGGATTAACAATCTTAGGACTGATGGGCATAACGAAAGCACTTAATAGTTTCAGAAATGAGAGTGTCTAGAACCTATGTAGGTGATACGGGCTTGGCATAGCCATAGACATTGGGATTCCCTGACGCTTCCTAATTGGCGGTTTCGTTGGCTTATGCCAAGGAAATGGCGTTGATGCCAAAATATTGTTACCGTGAAAAACAATAGTTATCCAACGTGTTCAGTTTATGTTCTGTTACTATATAAGTCAACAAAATTACCCGGTTGGTGGTAGCAGACAAAGCATTAGTAAAGTCCAAATAGACTGACAAAGCTTTAGGTCCGACGATAGTATTTATGTAGCGACTTGCCATTTTTAACTGAAGTCAAGTCGTGAGTCTATAGAAGACAATACTTGTCTTAATAAATACCTACATTTTAATGCAGACATAAATGTTGGCATGAATATTTGTTGAAGACTGGTCATATAAGTGGCGCTTCACTGCTGTACCGTAACTGTATTATGCGAGTTGGTCATATTTTACAGCAAAAAATCAGCTTTAGATATTTTAATACTGTTAAACATATCACCTTTAATAACGTTTTACACAAAAACAAGACTATACTATGCAACATGATTAGAATTAAGAAAAATGCTTTTCACAGTCTAACTAGCGATTGGGTACCTAACTTGCAAATCTATAGAAAAGGAAAGATCAAAAGGTCGCTCTTTTTCGCGCGGTCATATAAATGAATTGTCAGCCTATTGAAATTTCACTCTTACTATTATTTACCACATAATCCTTTGTAATCGACATATATGTCCTTTTTATGTTCACAGGCCTCCTTTCGCAGTTTGCATTCGTTTGTATAGGAAATCCCGTCTGAGCCGCAGACTGGTTCAAATTCTTCAGAACAACTGGGACATTCGCAAGCTGGGTAACCATTTGAGCGTACAACGCAGGATGCTCCAAGTTGACATGGATACTGATGACAAGCTCCATTTTCATCTGCAGTAACAAACGCAAAGATAACGAAAGGTTAGATGACTCGACGATAAGTACTTAATGCCCGAGGTACTTTCATCTTCTAATATACATCTTAATGATGTTCCGTCACGGCTAATTTTAAACTTAAAAACATATATAAATATCTATGTACATTTGCAAAATGCAAAAAAATCATACAGAGTGCGACATCGAAATTCGTACACTGTCTTATGCTTCCTATATTTGTAAAATTGTAACTAAATAGAAAGAAAATTTGCAATGCAGTTCTGCTAAAACTTTTTTTTTCGGATGAACGGTTCTTGTGGAAACTTGTTAGACCCTCGCTCACATATAGTTATCCAACGGGTTCAAATCTAGGCTGATCGGAGACCATATTTGCACATGTTTGTATTCACAAGCGTCCAACTCTGCACCAATCGACTCCTGTGGCCCTGTGTGAGATCCTGTTAGAAGACGTATGATCTTCCTTCGGGCACTTCAGTTATTTACGGTTGCACAACAAATTTCTTATGGAGGGAACATAAAGCAGGGCAGATGGGCGGAAGGAGCGCCCGCACAACCTTGTTAAGCCAACATTTGACTGTCTTTCCCTGAATAGAGGCGTTCCATTTTCGTAATGGAGCTTGCCGGCAGCTTTTTACTTGATACTAGCAAGAGAAAGGCTCTTCAAGCCTGAGCAGGTCCACCACCCCTTAAGTTGAACGTTACCGATAGGCTTTGACAAAATTCATCGGCAGATTTTAAATAGCAATACAAATCTTTTAACCAAAAAAGCACAGTCTACAAAATCGCATATGGTTTACGTATGAATATTGTAACGACTGACATAAAAATAATTAACCTGTGAGGTTGTAAATATTAAAATTGAAAAATCAGCATTTAATAAAATAGGTCAGATTTTTCCTTAGTTTGCATTATGTAGAAGCAATCTCCGGAATTGTTAGGATAAGCCTGACACTAAGAAAAATACACTAGCTTAATTACAACAAACAATGTAGGAGGTTTACTACGGCAGTTTAAAATAGGTAATATGTAAAGCAAACGCAATAATACGTAATTTGAAGAAAAATTAATAAAACTAAAATAAATATCCTTTTCGAAAATCAACTCAACTTAATAGAGATAAAACGCAGCAGCCTCAGGATCAAACCAAATGCCTCGGTGTAAGGTCTTAATTTCAAATATGGATATATGGCGGAAATTTGTTATATACAATATACCGATACCCTCTACTGTTCATGCAGTTATTTCGTAGCACTAATCAGTTCTTCACATAATTCGCTTCAAGCACCTTTATCTTAAAGAATCCTATATATAAGAGTAGTTCCTATTGTAAAATATATTTCATGTGGAAGCCTTTGAAGTGTAAAATAAAAACTTAAGTGTTATGTTTGCTATGGAAAACAGCTCCAACGAAAATTTAACGGAGGGAGATTGAAAATGATTCGCCTACCTGTCACGCATAAAGAATACTAGCTATATTTAACTTTAACTCATATACATTAGTTGTCCCAAATGCTGATGGGCACAATAATGTAGGCTCTGCTGCCTTTTTCTTCAAGAATTTTCCTAGTAGAAGTTTCTTAGCAGGTAAAGCTAAGCGTGAAGCAAGTTATGGTAATGTCTTTAATTAATGCTAATAAAGTAATCTATAACAACAACTATTTTCTAATAAGCTGGTCCGAAAAAAAAAATGATAAAATTTAAGTTCTTGCTCCTTTTTTATGTCAGAAAAAAAATCACCAACATAAATAGCACTCTCATTTGAGTTGTCCTTCGCCATTAAATAATGCTTCGTCAGGCTTAAACCTTTTCATGAGCGAGGTGGCCTTCAAAAAGACATCTTATTCCTTTTTAGATGAAGTCTTGGTACTGATATAATCGAGTCGTTCGTCGAGAGTTCGTTAAGTCACATCATATCCTCTTTCTGCTTACCATTCTGCTATATCATTAGCCGCTATTTCGCTTCGTATGAACGACTTCAATACTATGCCATTAGAAGTCAACTTAAACACGGTGCGTCGGCTGATCAAACGGGCGTTTGACAATAATGTTGACCAAGAGCTCTTCTTGCTTTCCGTTTACTTCGCCCGCAAATCGGTAGTAACCAAGTGGTTTGTCATCTGCTACACGTATATGTAGACGTTGTCGTTCATCACATTTATTAAAAATGCCATGGTGTTTCCATAACAAATACTTTCGAGAAGTTCCAGCCTAAAAATCTCTATCATATTATACGACGAACTAAATAGTGCGAAATTAATACTAAAGTAAATATTGTCAAGTATAACCCCAAGTTGCCGTGTCTGTAGTATTCTAGTGCTTGCCTAGAATAGTATACTGATATTCACCTTCGTCTCCATTTTTAGGCATCACTACGTGATCGGCAGCTAGTCCCGCGCTAGGTACGTAGTCTGTACAAATATAGAAATCTTGGAAAACTGATGTTATTGCGGTATATTTTTATTTGTTTGCCACTGTTTGGCTCAGCACTTATAAGATCATAATTATGTTAGGCCGGTATCTGTGTATTTGTCATGAACTCTGTTTGTCGGTTCTGTCTCCTACGGAATGCGGACAAGCCTCCTACCCAATTTCTATGTGATGCTTATATCGTAATACCATGTCTGGCAATGACTCTTGATGCGCTACTCTGGAAGCTGTCATCTCATACCCCCCTAACATGGTATTTTCCGCTGTCTTCATTCCTCGGTTCACTGGCAATGATATACTGCTCTGTAAGTATCTGGACTGCACACACATACCAGGGCGCTACACGAAGGGATCCGCAATGGATGACTGACTGAAATCGAGTTTTTAAGATACGTGGATGATCTTAGTAAGGCCTCGTTTTCGTAAGATTTTTTCCTAAAGAATTAGCGTCGGCAACATCATTGTAAAGCACTGAGGAAGCTATCTACAACCTGCTTCTGCTGGGCGTAACAAATTTAGAAAATAGCTCAGTGCTTTTAATATGACCTCAGTTTTTATATAGATATACAGTATCGTAAAGCACCGTCGAAAAAGGATCCAACCATAGTGACGCGCTGCTGAGAGTCACTCTACGGTCTATGTGGGAATATTAATTATACTATTACTGTTCTAATAAAATCGCAGTATAAACGTGTTACGAAAGTAACACGTTTATACTGTGATTTTATTTTCACGATTACGTATTATGTAATACGTTTATTCGTAATGCCTCCAGCGTACAAATATTTTCATAAAATTCAGCTCTATTAGCTCGCCACAAAAGAAGCTTTTCAACTCTGAGATTCACTAGTAAGTTTGCATCACTCATGACAGATCTTTGAGATATTGTAAGTGATCTTGCGTCTTCTGCTTTTTCAAGTCTTCTGCTTTCTAGCCAAAAGATGGATTATGCCTACTGAATGTGGTGTTCCTTGCCAGAAGCTTAGTGGCAACCTTTCTTTTTCCGTTTGCTATCACACCCACCCTATTTCCAGCATCCCGCACGTCATCGGTCACGAAGCTTTTCCCTACCCACACCAAAGCTGTGTGCGTTTCCCGTCACTTGTGATTCAATCTACTGTAGCAAAGTGTGTGAGCCGTTCATCGAAGTTCAACTATAATCAGCTCACGCAAAATGATACAAAGCTTTTACAAACTATTATATATGGAATACATAGAACACGAACATATACAGAACTAGAGTTTGCAACGATCCTAACAAGGTCGGTTTCAGTTAGGACAATTAGAGTTGTCCTAAATTGTACTTGATATCATGCGTGTGAAATACTTTGGTAAGGCAGCGATGCTGCAAACTGATCGATTCACTCTGTCTGTACGCCTTAGATTGGATTTACTATTAGGCAATATTTTATTGTAAATTAAACAATGCTTGTTTCTGTAGATTAATTTAAGCCTAACTAAAGTTGCTTTATCCTATGCAGATGCTCACGGATTTCACATAATTCAATTACACCAAGCAGTAGATAAATGCTAAGGTAATCTTTGTGCAGCCAGTGCACCAGATGATGTAGGTGTGATGAAATTTCCTGTTTCTTAGGAAGGATTTAGCTTTGCAATTGTTTATCTTTGTACACAATTGACCTCAAGTTAGGCGGTAGGCAACTTACCAACATTCATACGGTATAATATTATAACGTATTGATCTATGCGAGTGAGTTGTTTCCACTCTATTGAAGCATATGGGCGTTTTAGTTTATTGCTATCCTGAAAGTGTGTGCCTAGGAATTATTTATAAGCAATTATTTCAATGCATATAAGTTTATTCTAGTACATGCCAAATAGGTTAGTCATCAAACGATTGTTTTAAATATCAAATTATATGTATATATAATATAATATAAAGATAGCTCAATGTTGAAGTTACTGTTTATATACTAGAAACATAAAAATGTACATAAGGAACATTAAGATATTGCATGTTATTGAAAAAAATAGACAGACTCAGATATGCTAGAACGTACGAAGTTTGCAAGCTACTAGTAGATGGGTAAGCTGTTTCATGCAGAGATATGTAATTAACAGATATAAACCTCTTGGGGCGCAGAAAACGTAATCATGAATAGACTAAAAATAATTTGAATATATAGGGGATGCGTCTGCAGTAATGGTATGCATTCATATACACGCTAAATGGACCTGTCCTTATTTTCATTGAGGTTCCACGTTTTTATTGATGCGTTAAAATGTACCATTCCGTAAAGCGACGAAATCTACAATATAGCGAAAAATAAAGAAGCCAAAAAGTATTTGTTATTACCTGGGATATCCAACTTTGTCTCTATTTGTATTTGTATCTAGCACTCACAATTATACGTCAGTAAGATTTTCATTTACTATAAAATAGAATATCGTAATTATAGAATGATTGTTTCTTCAAGAATCTACCGATATAGGCTACTTGCTTTCATTGAACAGTGCAGACTCTTCCATAAGTTCCCAAACAGTACTTTCAAGATATACGATAAAAATTGTTTAATCTGTGGTTTATGCAGTGTGGCGGGATAATGAAAAAATTTTTTAAAATGACCGACGTTAACCTGTCACAGGTGAGCTAAACGTCATACAGCAGAACGTTTGCTAAGAGAGAAAAGCGTAAAAAAAATTGCAAGTACTTTGCCGTAAACACATTGGAAGGATATTAGGCCTACGCATGAACCTGGTTAGTATTGAGATCAAAATGGCATTAGAGCGCGCTTTTGTCAAGGTTGGTTGCAGTAAATAAAAAATAGTTCATTTTTATTTATTAATTTATCTTAGCTCGCTGTCATTCCAACACTACAAGCAGAAAATATACTAAATGACTGCTATATGCTGGTAGATGCAAGCTGTTGAGAAGCTCAGCGTCTCAGGAACCTATTGGCGACAGTTGATATGGACCAAAAAGAACTTGATTTGGGCGTCTCATGTTTAGGAGTATTTGTCAGATAACAAAATTGTTTAAGACATCTACATACTTTATGCGTAATTTCGTTTTATGAGAAAAACAGATCAAATGATGCGAAATTTTTGTTCACTTTTGCCAAAAGGTGAAAAAGAGACCACTCTATAGCCATATATATATATATATATATATACATATATATTGAACTGGGTAGTTGTATCCGTCGCCGCTGCTATATACGAATGAAGTGTAGGGCAAATAAGTCACATTTTTGCCAGTATCAGTATGTCATCACTGCAACTGGTGGCAGCGCGAAAACAGCAAATCATCTCACCCAATAGGGTAGTTAGTTCAAAAATGGATGAGATGGTCAATCAAACCACGAGATTAGAAGCCGTGCTGGGGGGTTTTGTAGGAGGTCTACAAAGAGTCGCGTTATCGTCGGATCTACAATTTTTGGCTGGTCGAGGCCTGAGTAATGGATTAACACGTTAGAGACAGCGGGGAGCGTTTAAAGCTGGCCCCGTAAATGCCTGCTTAGCTTGCTTTTAGAGCTCAATCAGCCTACTTCAGGCTACCTAGTTCAAATCATTTTGGACAATACAACCAGGCGAGATGAGTTCGAGACTCGTTCATTCAAGCGGTTTCCACGAATACTACCATTCCACGCAGCTAAATATTATATCCGGGTCTGAAGAGGTGATGATGACATGTACACGCTTATCCGCGATGTGTTGGAAGGCGTCGATTTCAAGGCGCGTCTAGTAGACAAGGAATCGTGCCGGTACTATGACTTCGTAAGCTACTTCACTGTGGCCTTGACACCTCATTTCACAGCTTTGGAAAGGTTTGTACACGACTACTGAATGCACCCCTGCATAGTCGAAATCCCACCGTCGGCAGAATCCGCAAGTAGCGTACGGAGTAAAGCAGGCTTTTGTGTTTGTTGTAGTGCACAAAGCACCTCACGTTAAGAGTTCGATGCGTTGTCGTAGCATAAAACAAAGAGCTTATCTCGGGTATCACGTTCCTGATGTTGCCTCTTATAGAGAAAGGTTTTGTCAGGAAAAAGCAATGGACGGACCCTCGTTTAAACAGGATCACTGATACTGAAGCAGAATTTCTGAGTACGTACCTGTCAACGAAATCCTGTAGTCAATCAAAGGGAACGCAGCGCTGTTGTGAATCACACGTGCTCAGGCTGAAGCCACACTCATGTCCTGCCACTTCGGGAAGACGAGTGGACATGCATGCATTCGAAAAACGGTGCAATGTGCGTTGAAGCGTTTGCATATGGTTCCGGCATGCATTAACAGGTTAGAAAGGTAATGGTTTGGTGTGAAGGTTACCATAGTCGGAAGCGTAAGGGGTTGAACGCGTGTGTTCCGACATCTACTCAAAGAAACCTACAATTAAAAAGGCGATCGGTTGCAGGCAACGCCGTGATGCGTATGGCCAAATGTGCATGGGTGTCGTTTCAACAGCCGAGGAAAGGGATCTGGTTTGAGCACACAAAGCATACTAGGGATAAACTAACCTAAAACGCATACGATCATAAACCACATGTTGGGACACATACGCAGATAGCGCAGTTAAGTGTTAAGACGCGTACCAATATTATATCCAATCCTAGATATTTCCGTCATTATCTCTATATAAATACAAGGTGCTGATACCTGTGCCAACACCAGTGCTTCGTCACTACCAGATGTAGGGGTACAACACCTAAATTGAGATCATCTTTGTCAGGCTGTTTGTTGTAACGGCTGTGTGTGAATCTGCCTGCATTGTTGATACTAGGTAAAACCCTTTTTTTTTTTAGAGCAAAACAACGTACTCCTCATGATGTACAATAATATAATGTTTTAAAAAATTAAGATAAAATGAGCTATTACTTAACTCGACCCCGTTAAAATATAAACTTCATTCACATCCGAAATCGGCGGTTTACGTGCGGCTTCTGATTTCCGTGACAAAAACTAGAAGATATTCGATACGTTATTGACTGAAAAAAAAAGCTCAAACTATCACTAAAATGGCTAACGAAGCGATTTTTGATACACTTGGATTTTTCATACAGAAACTTCCCCATACAGCGTATTTGAACTCTGCCAATTAACGAAAGAATATTTTGAAAATGACTATTGGGTTTAAGTTCCTCATTGAAGCTCTAATCACCGTGAATGAAGGCTGCATTGATTAATTCATAGATTCACATTGTATGCTATATATAATTGTTTTGAGACAATACAAATGCGTATATACTCTAGAACCAGAAGAATCAGCTCATGGAGTCTGACCGTATTTATAAAAAGTGGAAAAAATCGCTGGAACATGTCAGATGTTCGTGTTTCATTATTGTTATTTTTGTTAAATTGTTCAAAGATTACAGACAGTTTTTTTTTAGTAATGAATTACAGGAAGTTAATATTGATTTGTTTATGTGTTACGTGCTACTGTGGATAACTTGAATCACCAGCATAGATCAAACGAATATAATTGTTTACAGAGATATACTCTTGTCTCCGTGATTATTTCAGTGAATACTGCACAGGCAAGATTCTAGCAGTCATAACGAGCCCTCCGCAAACGTTCAAAAAATAGTTAAATCACGTTAATAGAAATTACCGGAAAGAAATCAACACGCCATTCCTAAGCCTAAAATGTAATTTCATTTTTTTTGAAAACGACATCTCACGAAAAAAGTTTTGAGAAATCGTTTCTCAGATCGAAAACGAAAGCTACTAAATGAACTATGTGAACAAAACCCTAGAAAGATGGCAAAAGGACACTGCATTGAAAAATAGGATGAGAGAACGATGAAAGAAAGAATAACGTTCAATATGGCGTTGTCATGAGATATCTAATTAAAATCTATTTTTATCTGAACATAAGAAGTAAAAGCGACCTAAATCAATTACTTGGCAATGCCTGCTTTTACGGATTATGCTTGCATAACCGACAGTTATATAGATTTTTGGAAGTTCCCGGAGCCGGCGATGTTGTAGGATCTCTACGAATCGATTGCGACAAGTGAGTCAACGCAGAAGTACATGACTAATTGACATGCTTCTCAATCTTTTAAATCATCTCGTACATTAATTAGATTCCAAAACGGACCCTGCGACGATTATCGTGTACTGTTAGAGACGTACCCCTGCGTAATAGTTCTTTACACTTGTGGACGTATCCCTGATAGAATCGTCAATTCCAAGTACACAGACATATATATAGCTTCCAGAGAGAGAGAGAGAGAGAGAGAGAGAGAGAGAAACTGGATATAGCCAAGCGATACTTCAAAAGGACCTCGAACACCTGTGTTTATATCTTGCCACAGCTTTTTATTTATGGTCTATGAAAATAATTATTTGTGAATATAAGAATATATGTTTTAGTGCATCCAAATACGGCTAACCTTATACCCTTGAAGGACAGGATTTAATATTCGCCTGCGATGCTAAAGTACACAAAAACGATTTGGTCGGTGAGACGGCCCTATATTCTGTGTAGCATGTGAGAAAACTTGAGAGTGAGACGTTCCAAGGCTTCATGTGCTCCAGAATGGCAGTACTTGCACAAATCATGACAAAAAAAATCTTGAAAAAGTAACTAACTAGGATGCTTATGAACGTTTACGATTTACAGTACGCCCTTATAAACAATATTATCGAAGTTGCTATGTAGCTAAGTTACTTTTAATTCTTTACGCTTACTGTATTTTGTTGGTCAATAGTAACGAAATATACTTACCACACGTGCCGCTGTAGGAGACTTGAACGTCGCTGTTCTGCAAACATGCTGTCCTGTGTAGTTCACACATTGAATCGTATGTTGTACCATCTGTTCCGCATACAGGACGAACCACCTGTTGTGTAAAACCCAACTTCAGATTAAAACCGAATATATTCAAAAGCAAATAAACTTCAGATATAACACCGGACAGCACTCTCGGCATTGTGTATGTGGTCATTGTAATACCCCAAAATCTCTAGTATAACGCATTTTCTATCTAAAGACCCTTTCAGTATTAAAGAAAGTTTGTTTGATCAGTAGACAGGGAATTATGCCGAACTGAGGCGTGGCCGCTGCCATATCCCACTGTCAAACCGGAGGCGGCTGTTGCTTAGCCTATTTATATTACTGATACCGTATTGTATGTAATAACAGGGAATGAAGGATAGCTAACTAAAAAGTAAACTTGAAATAATCTACCTGTTCACATGGAGGCGGACAACTGCAGATTGCGGTTCCTTGTCTGTCAATCTCACATTCTTGGGCTGGGCCGCAATTCACGGCACGACATGGATTTAGTACTGTAATCAAAACATGTATACATTTATTTTCTTAGATTTATACTACGGCCAGTCTATAGTTTATATAATAGTAAGGCAATACCCGGACAAAATAGAGTACTGATTATTCTACTTGTATTCTTAACTTAGAGCTACAAACTTTGTGGAGAACACTCGTTTAAACATTGTTTAGGAGCGTTGAACAAGTTACAATTATTGCTTCGCAGTAGCGGCAAATGTGATTCTGATCGGTAATGTGCAGATATAGTGAAATGTTCCGATGTCACGCTATCAACAAGTATCATTTAACCAATATAATACAGGCGAATGTTCCAGCAAAGGCTCGCCAACACATATAGCTTGGTTTCAACGAGATATTCCCATTTATCTAAATACGTGTATTTTATCTATAAAGCCATTGGCCGTGCTTTGCATCTGTGGCAAAAACGAGATGCACAAAACAACCGAACTGATAGTTTTTGATTGCACGAAAAATGTGAGAATACGTTTGATTATGGCTAGCGGTTTCTGTGCTATTTTTGCCTAAAAATACGTCTCGTAGGTCCCTAAACTAAATAAATATTTCAAGTTCGGTACTGCCATTGAGCATTGCTTCAGACTGCTGGTTCTCAGCATGAAACGTCGATAGCCAACTTCAGACAGTATTTCTAAACTTAATCGACGAACACGTTACCGCTGTACCATCACGGAGTCAGTCCGAAAACCTAACTCAAAAAAAGCTTCTTTTATGGTTCATGGGCACCCTCCCGCGTTTAAGTGAGCATATCTTGATTATAAACATTATATCATGTAAACCTATCAACATCTTATCTACAAATCCGGATAATTTCTATAAAACTAATAATTTCCATCTAGTAATATTATATTATGGTATAAAAAAAAACTTGTTAGCTTGTCATAGCCTGAGGTACACTTTCATCAATATAAAAAAATAAAACATTAGTAACAAGTAGCAGTGTAAAGTAAACTTCCGAAGAATCGTTCAAAGTTGTTCAGATGCTTGTCCAGAATCCACGAGTACAGTCTTGTATCCGTTTAAACTGCATTAGTCGAAGTTCTAAGGTACTTACGTTCTACTGAATAGCTTATCATACGTGAAGAAGGAACTTAAAGGCTAGGGGGAATTATTATATTTAACGTGGATATAGCCATTCTGCTTTTTATGGCAACGCATTTTTGATGAGAGGGTTCGTAATGCACATATCCTCCTCAGACAAAGCAATCCTGCGCACAATATTTGGCAAATTGAATCATTAATTTATACTTATTTAGGCACGCTATCTTAACAACTGCTTTCCATTTAGCTTGTACTTGCCTGTTGCAAGAAAATGGTTTTAGAAAAGACACCACATTATTAGACATCGCGAGTCTCAAAAAAGAACCGCGGTGTGGACATCGCGCGGTAACATCTAGACAAATGCCTGTCTATTATATCTGTCAGTCCGTTTAAACTGTGATGATACATCTACCAACTATTAGTCCAGTTCGGATAATAATGAGAACAGGGAAATATTATGCTTGTCACTGAATGAAAACGCTTTGATGTACCAGGTAGCAAATCATTTGGAGCATAGCTTCGATAGGGCTTCGTGGAAAGTCTCCTAATGGGATCCAATTTATTCGAGATATCGTACTCGTAAGCTGACACATATCGAGCGGAATATCTTTAAAAAATCTGTGGTTTCGGACCAAAGGAGCCCAAACAGCAAACCTAAATATGCGCACACAAAGCGGCAAAGAAGGTAAACCGGAAGGAACAACTGAAACTTTGGAATAGTTTCCTTTATAAGATCGCTCGTAAGCATTATGCAAATAAACCAAGTGCCGTCTTGGCTAAGCGCTATCTAATAGAACTGGGTTAAAGTATGTTGGATATTTTCAGTGGACAAGAAGGAAAGGGAGGACTAAAACTGTCCGCTACATAGAATCATACGTAGTGTTACATAGAATAGCTTCTTCAAATAATGGATTCCAGATGCTGCAGTGCCACCGTTAGGTTTTTGCCGTGGGTTGAAATATCAATAAATCTCTGCGACAGATACACCGACGTACGTAGTCACTGGTAGAAGTATATTATGGCGTGTCTGGACGCCAGTGTTTAACACAGAAAAACATTAAACAACTACCATGATAACTGGGAAATCGGCTCTGAAACTTAGGTATTCAATGTTTTTCGCTAGTTTTAAGTATGACGACATTGGCTCTCCATCCAGTCCGGCATCCGGTACTTGTTAAGTCCGTATGAGAAACTCTACTTAACTTCTATTCCCACTCTATTTGTACATACTCAAATCAATTCGTTCATGGCTTGTTTTGTACCTATCTAGATTATGATTAACGGTTGCCAGGTTTCAGCTAAAACGTTTCCCTGTGGGGAGCTTGTAAATTCTCTGAAGCGGTCCAGATTCTTGAGATTTTCATAAACCTATTCTGATCATGCTTTAACAATATGTCATTGGAAGATTAGAGTCAAGTGCGAAACGCAGCCAAAGTCGACGGGCAACAACGCGTTATAAAAATTAATGTTATCTGTGTTTATACGGCTTACTACACCGCGTCACTTGCTTGCATCTCAAAATCGGGATCTCTTCGTATGAGCTCGTGGCAGCTATACCTGTCTGTAATAAGGTATCTGTCTTCCGGTAAAATGCAGTAATATTTATTGTATGCGCCATGGGAGTTGTAACCTGTAGAATGTGTGACAAAAAAATCAGCGAACCCTGAATTCGAACAGTGTTAGGCTGTGGGTGTAGTTCAGAAAGCATGCGGTTAAACTTCTTCCAGTGAACTGCGTACTGCTTGTTACGTCATTTGTTTAGTTAATGCTGCGATAGTTTCTGAAACGACGTGCCGCTCGTAAGCACTGAAATGGAATGTTATTGGGTGTTAGTTTGTATGAATTGAATTAACTAAAAGCCTGTTATTGTCAGGCAGTTCAACAACTTACGTCCCGCCTTCCATATTCGTGCTGTAAGACACGACTATAAAATGTCTGTTTTGAAACATGGGAGCCGCTTTGCCCTTCGCCCACAAAAACAATTATCTCTACAAGTAACGGATTTACTCCGTTCACTTTTTATGCCTAACCTAACCTAACCTAACCTTGTGCCGTGATACCTTTATAGATCGTAGATTTAAATGCAAACCATAGTGTATTTCTCGACTCTCGAAAATGACAAAATCACAGGTGTATTTACCTATATCAGTCACTTTCGACTTAAAATAATCTGTATAATTACAGTACCGGTTTTTCCACTCTCAGAAAAAGGCCCGACAAAGTTTACGCACGCACGACAATCAAGGTACGAAAAAGCATCAGATAAAGATTTTAACTTATGGTTAATGTTAATTACATTAATATGTTCATGCTTATCAGGAGACTGGAAGTAATGGGTGCAGGACGCGTTGCTGGAATAAAATATCTGATTACCGTCAAATTTTTCTATTGGGCATATTATCCTTAATTTGTCTAGCATGTCATCTAATTACGTTCGGAGGCATGGGCACAGCTTGGAACTATTGCACTTTTCTAGCCTAGTAAGAAAACGGGCCGTTTTTTCTAAGTATTACTTAATATCTAAAATTTGCCAAATCTTGGCAATTTCCAAATGTCGTCGCATCTGGACATGCTCTACCCAATTCTTACTTTGCCAACATTATAGTCATAAAACTGCTAGTTTGCTTCGGCCACTTCGTTGTCGAACAATGTTCTTACCTGAGTCACACTCCTTTTGGTACAGCACTCGTATGGCCCTTCGTGTTGTGCACCCCTCGACTCTTAACGCGCACTCGTTCGAATATGTTTTTCCATTGGATCCGCAAACAGGCCGTACTTCCCGTGGACACTGCGAATTGCATTGGCAAACGGCGTTCCGCTGTTGATCTAATTGGCACACCTGGTGCTCAGGACACTTCACCGACTGGCACGGATCTGAAACAGGACGAATATGATAGGACTCATATATTATAAAGATACATCACAATAAGGCACATTGTCTGTTTTTCAGAACTTCCTCGAAGATTGACTACTCTGTACAAAGCATGATTCCAAAGACGCTGTGGCCAGTAGAGAGAGAAATCAGCTAAGTATAAAACAGCATGATTTATGCGATCACTAGATCATGTACATACATATTTGCAGATGATCTATTACTTTTGCGCAAAGTGCCTGAGATATTAGCGAGCCAGAATCTATTATATCTAAGCAGAGTGGTTTGAATCCGATGTTCGTAGCAATAGATAAGGACCGAGAACGGTTATTACTGCCTTTCTATTCGACACTATGCAGCAGAGGCAGTGGAACTGAAGTTCAGCAAGGATTATAGTATTTTTGCCTATGTCAACAGATCATATTATCTTTCTGCCAAAGACAACAGATCTTGTTGAGGAGGCTGATGCCATAGTATACAGCATCGACCAAACGCTGATGACGCCGCCGACCACTTTGAGAAATTTGAACAAAAACTTTACGAATCGCCCATTGATTGAATCTTCCAAACCGCTCTCTAAAAAAGAAGTATGCAGCAGGCGTAAAGAGAACCACACAAAATGAGCCCAACTTCTGTAATCAATAGACTGGGATATCTTTGCATTAACTTCACCGTTGGGTAAGCCGCGTCTCGTTGTTTGTTATTGAAAAAGGAGAATGAATTTGTGTAAGCACATCGTACTTTCACGACGATGTGCTTCTACAATGTAGACGGAAAACGCGTGCGATCATATCGTTGTGCACGAGAGGCAAAGGTTACGAATGTTAATTTCAGTTCAGTGCTACGTGCAATCGCATTACCGGACAGAAACCGTAACTGTTTTCTTTCGAACATATCATATTCGAGTAAAACGTATACTGATATTTGTACATTGTTGTTGTACATTAAAATACAGATGATCGTAAAGAAAGTTTCCTACTATTATATTATGATAGGAAATTGTTTCAAAAATATATCTTTTTGATGCATAGCTTTGTCGTTTGAAAGTGACACAACGTTATTCCACCCACTCTCCGCTGCAACCGACATCATTGAAAATTTTCTTCAAAAATAGCTGAACCTACAAAGTAACAACCTTAGCTATTGTAGGCTTATAATTATTATTATTATTTCTATTGATATTATGGTATACCCGCAGAGGACAAGGTCCCGGTAAAATCTGGTTCTAAGTGATATTTTAGTTGGGGCTGTAGGAACAGCACAAGCGTATGGGGTAATGAAGCCCAGAAGCATGGGAGCGCTTTCGCTAGCCTAGGCCAAAAGGCTTTCGGTTCAAACAAGCTCTTCTTGCCATATGTTTACCTCGTAGCTTAGGGTATAGTGATAACGGTGGGCAATAGCAGACATCTGTGTAACGATGATATTATCATAAAATACTAAGAAACTACTAAGGCAGGGACACGATGATGTCGATACCATATACGACAAACAGGTTCTACAGTTTCTCATCATATCATGTTCGAAAATGATTTTTTTCTATATTAGTATAATGCATTAATGAATTTTATTCGATATTTTGTCATGCCACCTCATAACTGGCAGCAGTGTTAGATACATAAAGTTTTGGAAATCGGATAAAGTAAATAAAACAAGGTCTAACTATTGTTACGAAGAAATACAGCTCCCGGTATTTCCGCATACGACCACAGATGAATGCTTCACCCAGATGCATCTCGGGGACAATATGGGTATCATTTTTTCATTTGTTTTGGTAGATTAGGTGCATAGATATTTTCTTCAGGGACATCTACCGATTTTGTGTATTAGATTACGCTGTACGCTGCATATATAAATACCTATTGGCTCCGGGAGCTGTACTGCTAGCGTTGACTGCGTGATGCTTTTGAGGCGCTAAAGCAGTCGGTCCCAAACATTCGTGAACTCATTATGCACAAGTTAGATAATAAATATTCAATGTAAATATGGTTAAACAAATAAACGCTGCTTCTACTTAGAACCTTACAGATGGCACTTAAGCGTGTTCCCTTCAAACGATTTTTTCAAATGGACTGATATAGCTCGTGTGAGCTGCTTGACTTCCTTGTGAGCTCTCTGAAGGTGGTTCAGGGATCTTCCAACGTCAGTTGTTGTATTTTTGAAACTACACGCTGTGATAGGTCGCCCTGAACGTAAATTTTTTTCGAAGCTTTCTCGTGATGGGTTGTAGGTAGCAGATATGCAGGTAAGTACGGTGCTAGGTGTCCCGTGATTTCCGGCTAGTATGAACTAGTTATTGTACGAGTGCTGGGCGTGATTTACGAAAGATTTTAGGAAAATATACTACGTAAGCAACCCATGCACGGAACAATAATTTCATAATTTGTCAAATGTGCAGTTTGAACATAGAAGAACCACTCGTGAAAGTTTGTTGGAACTCTGAAAATTGTGGAATTGTAGAATACTTCGTGAATCAGACAACTTTATTTGATTTACCTTGAGAAATAAATAAATAATGAATAGTTGAATAAATACGTTGTAAAGGTCTTCCGACATACTGCTCGAAAATATATTCGAAAAAACGTCTATATATATATATATGTATATATACTTTCTTAGAGTCGAAAGAGGTACCAGGCGTAATTAAGCCTAGGCTCTCTGAAGCAGGACAAAAAAAGTTTGGGAATCCTAGTCTTACTACCTAATATGGAATTGATACAACGATCGGCTACCTCGTCCCGGTTTTTAGTAAAGCAGTGGCGGGAAGCGTAAGGGGAGGAGTACGTGTAACATCGTTTTATAAGCTGACATGGCGGGTCTGAGAGTTGTCCGACTACGTGGCAAGCGGCAGGAAGTAAAGCTTTCGCTTGTGCCTCCTTTATATTGTCAAATGTTTGTTGCTAACGTGGATGTTACATGGGTGAATTAGAATGTGTGTGTGTGTGTTTCGGCCGGTTCTTTGGGCAAAGCAAAGACACTTCGTTCTCTTCCGCCCTAGTAGCCTCTCAAGCAAATGTACACGGTGCTCTGGCATTAAACAGTTGTACGCTTTCGGTAATGGCAGCAGAAACATATTAGTATTAGTACAAGTAACTTGGTACCCGTTCGACCTGTATAGTAACTGTGGTGCACACGGTGTGAAGGGACGTGTACTCGAGAACTAGCCCAGCGTGGAATACCGGAATCAACCAATCTCATTGAAGCGGAACCTGTACGACAGCTGCAACCATATCTGCACCTTTGTTTGCAGGATCGCTAATCTAACCACGAAAGCTGTAGCGCGGAATTAGGGGAGTAGAGGCGGGCAACACCGAACGAAGGTGAATTATGACTGAAATAGCAGCTCTAGGGTGTGCATTGCTCACCACCGCATATTTTGTATGATATAATACGGTCATCGTATGCTGTAAAGAAACATTTGTTTTGTTTCACATGAAAATGACTATTATGTGCTATACGATTGTATTTAGAACACTCGAGCACAGTTTTTAGGCATGTACGGAACAAGGCTGCTATATGCAAGCTTAAATCCATAGCAATATTCAAATCTAGATGTTCAAGATGCGCGTTAGGCCATTCCTTGCAGTAGAAAAGAAATTCGTTGCGATTTCACTGGCAAAACACTTTTGACCAAACTGGATACATACGTTTATATCGAGCAAGAAAACTCTTACTAAATTAGTTAATCGCTATGCGCATACCGTTATACACTGTGTGCAGTGGTTGCGGGCGTGTAACGCTTGCACCAATCACAACTGAACAGTGACTCGTTCAATTCAATAGCGCAACCCTCCAACACTTCCCGTAGCCGGTCTTCGCCAGCTAGAAACCTTTCAAAGACTGCATCGATGTAAAGCTGACCATAGGCATTCGAAACGCTTTTTATAGAGAACTATCACATCTTTGTTAGCCGTCGAAGCAATCTACACCCCAAATTTATAATGATCCTGAATGACAGTCAGAGAGCAAGGTAACACCATATTTCTTAATGCTGCCGATCCTTAGGACTATTATGGTTTTCCACAGACGAGCCTACGGCGTACAGGAAAAGACGACATAACAAGATACACGTACCGCTCGTAATTGTGACATGCATAAAACTCCGCCGACCAATCAGCATCGTCTAAGCTGGTACTGTCCACAGTTTCTTTCTATTCACCTCGAATTTCTTGCCGGAAAAAACTGCTACAACATGCCCTAAATCTCGGAGCTGTCTTTGCTCGGGCTGCACGTTACTACGCCCGAAGTGTCCCGATAGTCATACCGTCGCAGTCGCTATCGTTTCCTCGAAGGTTGGTCTGCTTTTTTTCGATTGTTTTTCATTCGACGTACGTACCCATGTTTAGCCTGCCACAACAAAAAATTTCCGATCGCCAGCAAGACCAAGCTCTCCTTCGACATTCACATGTATTACCTTGATGCGACCCACACGTTTCGCACGTTACAAACTCGAAGACCTTGATCATCATAATCGCAAGCAGGGAAACGAGCAGGTGAGAAGAGAATCGTCTCAGCGCAGAACCAGCCTGCGCTGTAATCATGCCTGCCGCCACAGCTCAAGGTACGAACTGAACGTGGGAATTGAAGTTTGGCTGCCGGGCATGGATCGAATGGGGAATCGAAATAGCTGATTTGCGAAGCGATTCCGCCTAGAAAGAACGTAGATAGGAGATGGACTGAGGGCCGAGGGGTCTCCGGCCCTTTCACGCCATCTCAATCTCACTTTGCGTGTACTCCCCCAGGTGATTTGACCGGCTTCGTTGAACCATCCCAGTGAGTTGGTCGACAACCTGCACACAGAGAACATCTCGTCTCCCTCTCGAGTTCAATGTAAAAACGTCTCCTTTCACCTTACTCCTAATACCACCACCCTGAGGCAGCAGCATAAGGAACTGCGTACAAATGCCTAGGTACCTATCTACCTAGTGAGTCGCTTGCAATGCACACACATGCCCATAGTCCCTACGCACGCTCTCTGATCGCAGCAAGATTAGGCAGGATATAC